TAGCTGAGATTACAGGCCTGTGCCCCCTTCCCCAGCTAATTTTTGTATTTTTAGTAGAGATGGGGTTTCACTATGTTGGCCAGGCTGGTCTTGAACTCCTGACCTCGTGATCTACCCGCCTTGGCCTCCTAAGGTGTTGGAGTTACAGGTGTGAGCCACGTGCCCAGCCTGATAATCTTTATCTTGACATCCTGTAAGGTCGGGGGAGGGTGTTGAGTTTGTGGCAGCCAACCCAGTGCTCAGTCCCAGGCGAGGAGTGAAGAGTTCTTCACTTACAGCGTATGAGGCACTGTTGACAGTCACCACGGCCCGTGGGATGAAATTTTTGTCTGCACTCGACGGAGGCATTCCTTCAGGCTGTGGGATCGCTCTGCGTACTGTGTGCCGGGGGCGGAAGCTGCAGGGGAGGACTCACTGTGTTGGCCACTGCGGCTCCCGATGGTCCAGGGCGGGCCGGACACTCACCAAGGAGTCACCCTGGGAGAGGTGAGGCTGCCCAGGAGGAGGGCAGGAGGGAGCCTGGAACAGGTGGCTGGACCAGGCCCTTGAAGGGCCTTGACCTTCAGGAGAACATCTGGCTTTAGCCTGGGAACTGTGGAAGTGGCTGAAAGGGCGGTAAGAAAGAGGCGTCGGTGAGTCCACAAAAGACAGCACCCGAGCTGAGCAGAGGAAGGGGAGGACCTTGGGGCACACTAGAGACCCTGGGAAGTGGTTCTGCCATCCAGACAAGCTTGGACTGAGGGACAGCAGTGGACACGCAGGTGTGTGGCCTGGAGAAGTGTCAAGATGGATGGGAAATGAAAGACGAGGGGAAGCGTCGGATGATGAGACTGAGGCACAGAGAGGTGAAGTAAGGGGCCCACAGTCACACAGCCAGTGGGGCCAGGAGCAAAGCCTCCCTCCTGGCATCTGTAGGAGGTGGCAGCTGGGCCTGTGGACATCAGTCCTGGCCCTGCGGCCTGGTGTGCATGTTGGGTGGAGGCGGCAGGCAGGTCAGAGCCAGCAGGAGTGACGCTGGCAGTGGCATCATCTTGCTTCATTTGTGGCGCTGCTTAGCACCAGGCATAATGGAGATGGATTGGGGCATCTGCCAGCGAATGGGGGACCCATTCCGTGTCGCCTGCCGCTCCATTAGGCAGAGATCGGGCCTATAAAGGAAGAGCTTGGGAAGAAGGTGCTGGAAGGAGCCAGGGCAAGAGGGTGGCCGAGTGCCGGGGCCTCCTGGTGGCACATGTGATGGGGATGCCCTGAGGACCCCGAGTGAGAGAGGCCTGGGTGCAGAGCCAGCTCCAGCCTTGCTTAGGGAGATGACTTGACCTCACTGGCCTCAGCTTTCCCATCTGTTAAGTGGAGGTTGATCTAAGGATGGGACAGTGCAGGACTTGGCACAAGGCCTGGTGCATGGTCCAGGCTCAGTAAGTGCTGGGTGCTATTGCTATTACTGTTGTCATCATCGATATTATTGTGTGGCAGTTGGAGTCCAGCAACTGGTTGGGGGGTGTCAGGTGTCCTCTCTGTTTTGGGACATTTGTCATCGTCTGCCCAAGCCCAAGCTCAGTTAGCTCAGAGATGCCGCCCTCAAGATGATGGGCCGGTGCCAGGACCTGAGGCCCACAGACTGCAAAGCCCAGGCCCAGGCCCAGGTGCGAGTGGAGGCTGTTGATGGGGGAGCGTAAGGAGAACCCCAGAGAGGATCGACCTCTCTTTTGCGGAGGGATTATGTGAGTCCAAGAAAGACATGCAGAGAAAGGACAAAGGATGAGACAGGGCCACCTTGATGAGGCCGGGTGGTGGTCAGATACCATCCTTTGCCTGATTTTACCAGGTAAACATGCAGGAGGCTCAGAGAGGGTGAGGGCCTGGCTCAAGGTCACACAGCAGCTGTCACTGGGAGCAGGCCCGCCAGCTCCGGGGCCTGGGTGCTGTCCCCCTCTGTGAAGGAGGGGTGTGATCATTTATCAGGGGAGTTTAATAATGAATGAAGTTGAAGTGTCTTTAATGCAGGCAGCAGGACTGAAGTAATAAGGGACCCTGTATTAATTCGGAAGTTAATGAATATGCAGGTGTGTCTGAATGATTAATGGAGCTCCTGAAGGCCTTGGAAAGGGGTGTGTGAGCTGTTGCTGATGGAAATATGAATATTACATACATCTGGGAAGTCGGATAAACTGGGGAACAGATGGGCATTAACCAACCAGAGGGTTCTAGCAGCCACTGAGAGTGGAACATACAGATATGTGGGGGCAAATATACAGTGGCGTGGGGAGCACGCTCACTTTCTTGCAATGTGATCTTGGGGGCATCACTTAATCTCTGAGAGCCTTACTTCCCTTATCTGCAGAATGGGAAGAAAAATAATACCTGCTTCTGGCCGGGCACGGTGGCTCACGCCTGTAATCCCAGCACTTTGAGGGGCTGAGGTGGGTGGATCACGAGGTCAAGAGATGGAGACCATCCTGGCCAACACGGTGAAACCCCATTTCTACTAAAAATCCAAAAATTTAGCTGGGTGTGGTGGTGCGCGCCTGTAGTCCCAGCTACTCGGGAGTCTGAGGCAGGAGAATTCCTTGAATCTAGGAGGTGGAAGTTGCAGTGAGCCCAGATCGTGCCACTGTGCTCCAGCCTGGGCAATAAAAAACTGGTTCCTAGTATCCTGAAGATGAAATGTAAGAGAATCCCTTAACAAGGGTGGGCTCATTGTGAGCATCTCACAAACACGGGTCAGCCTTTTTAGAGATGAGGGCGGAGAATTGGTTGAGGAGGGCCAAGGAAAGTGTAACAGTAGCAGTTAAATTCCCTTAAGGTGGACGGTGCTTCTGTTGCACTGACAGCGATAAGGAAGAAGAAAGATGAATGGCCCTTTACAGTTTATAAAGGGGAATCGCTCACTGGTTATCCTTTTCCTCCTTGCAGCAGCTACGTGGGGTGGAGGAGATGGTTCTTGGGGAAACCAAGGCTCTGAGGGGGCCGGTCACTGCCCATGTCACCCAGCCAAGCGAGGGCAAGAGTTGGGCCTGGGCCCAGGTCTGCATCCCTTCCCCCTGAGTCTCAGAGGATGTGGGATGTACGCACTCCCTGGGAAGGACCTTTCCAGTATTTGCCAGGCCTGGGGCTGGGGACAGGGTCATCTCCCAGAGCTTCAGTTTCTCTCCCTGTCATGTAAAGGTCTGTCTGCTGCTCGGGGTTGATTTGAGGTTCTGATGAGGAAGTGGGACGCTGTCTGTTCACCTATGCTTGGCCTTCGGGGAGTCCCAGACACCGTCCTTTCGATGCGCAGTCTGCTGCATCAGCTGGACTTATATCTGGGGGGTCGTGGGCACCGGGCCACTTTAGCCGTGAGCTCTCGGGCATGTCTCTTGTCGTTTCTCAGCCTCAGTTCCCTCATATGACAGTGTGGCTGCGATGTGTGAAGTGTGCAGGGCCTGGCACACAGTGGGTGCCAGTGCGGTGTGCTCCTCTGTCCCTGGGCCCATGTCATGGCCCTGTGCGTGGTGGCTCTCTTGTGTTCCCAGGGTGATTTTCAGCCGTGGACGTGTACAGAGAGCCTGCTGGGGATGGTGCCGGGCCCTGGGTTTACAGGGTGAGTGAGACTGTCCACACTTGGTCCCTGTCCTCTACGAGGCCATGGTCCAGGCAGAAGTTGGATGTAAAACCAGTGTCCCTGTCATGCGACCTGGGATGGGGGTCAGTAGCTGGAGGACGGCTGCCACACAGCCTTGGATGGATAAGGAAAGACACGCTCATTCATCTCCCTGTCTTCCCCACCAGAGCCCCAACCAGACGGCCTGGCTTTGACTATGAGTCCTCCGCTCACTGGAGGCAGTGCCCACAGAATGGCTGTTTGAATGAAGAGGGAGGGAATGAATGAATGGCTGCCTTCTAGGCTCCTTTCTCTGCCTCTTCTCAGCTCCAGGCCGGTGAGCAGGGGCATAGCCAAGCCCCTCACTTGATTGTCTCAGGGATCCGGGGTGATCCTGTTGTACATCCTTCTCTTCTCCCAGGTCTCTGCCTGGGCCTCCAGGGCCTCCCCCTGGGCCAGCCTGGCTGGGTTCAGAAAACTGTGTGTTGCTGGGTAAAGAACCTTCTGGCAGTCATGGTCGGGGAGCAGCCTGCTGTTGACAAGCAAGGAAAGCGAGGCCCAGAAGGGAGAGGGGTGGCGGGAGGGGGCAGGGCTGGGGTTAGAGCCTCTGTCTTGACTGTGCCGGGTCGGCTGCCCTGCAGTGTCCAGCCTGGCCATGTATTTATAGTCTCTACTGTTCTAGATTAACACCCAGGCCTGCCCAGGCCTTTGCAGCCTCTGGATCTGAGGACGCCTTTGAACCCTCTAGGGGGCTGTGGAATCAGAGCTTACCCCCATGGGGAGGGGTGAAGGCGGCTTCTCACCCTTCCCTTCACGGCTCTGGGGCTCACGCTGGGCCCTTTGCCTGCAGAATCTTTGCCAGCCTGGGTGAGGGTTGGGCCACCCTTTGGTGGGTTCAGCTTCTTCATCTGGGGTTCATTTTCACGCCTTGCCTCCTTCTGGCTTGGCAGGGAGGCCGTGTGTACAGCATGAGATCAATGCATGGGCTGTGTGGCCTTGGGCAAACCAGGCCCCTCTCCAAGCCTCAGTCTCCTCATCTGTAGAATGGGCATCACTCGCACCCGACTCTCCAGTGTCTGGCACTGGGCACTCCATGCTTGTGAGCTGGGGGTCGCTGTTTACACTCCTCACATCTCTCTGGTCCTCATCACAAGCAGTCCTCAGAGCCTGGAGGGACCGGAGTGTCATCTCCATTTGACAGATGAGGCCAGTGAGGCCCTGCCGCAGCGTGACTTACCAGAGCCATGCTGCCTGTTGGGGCAGAATTCAGACTCATCTAAGTCTGAATGTTCCAGCTTCCCAGGCCCCCTCCCCAGGGCCCGTGGGCTCCTTGGGGCAGGCCAGGCTTCTCACCCCACCAGCTTGGTTCCTACCCTCTGGTCTTGGGGAGAGCTCCACTAACTCTATGCTTTTCTTACAGAGCAGAGACGACTGGCCGCCCTGAGCGCAATTCAATTCAACAGACATTTACTGAGTGCCTACTATGCGCCAGGCCTTAGGCTGGGCACTGGGGGAGGGGCGCAGAGAGGAAGATGGGGTCCTGTCCTCAGGTAGCTCTGGGCGGGGCGGGGTGTGGAGAAGACAGGCAAGGGCTAAACAGCTCAGCACCAGGAGAGAAGCTGCTTGGCGGGCTGGACGCAGCAGAGACCTGGGTTCAAGTGCATCACTGGAGAGCCGCTGTTCCTCGTCCGTACCTCAGTTTCCCCACTTGTAAAATGGGGGAGATGATCTCTAGGACCCATCCAGGATTCCAAGGGCTATACCTTGGGGTTGTGGGGGCAGAGCAGGGGGGTCACCCTGCAGAAGGGAGATCTCCAAAGGCTTCTCAGAGGAGGAGGCATAAGGTCTGGGCCCGGGGGATGGGGACAGGTAGGAATTGGTCCTAGGATTAGGACCAGCTAACGGCCAGTGAGTAACGGCCTGGTGGACGTGGGTGTGGGCATGCCCCCAATTCCATAGGGTTGCAAGAGGACGTGGTGGGGTGTGAGCTTAGAGAGGGAGAGGGGTTCTAGGGCCATAGGTCGGGGCGTGACCTCTATTCTGGGGCCAGTGGGAGCCATTGTAGGCTGTTGAGGGCGAGTCCGGAACAGCTGGTCCTGCTCTGTCTCACCCTCTTCTCTCTCCCTCTCTGGGGCACACTTCAGGATCACATTCCCATAGAACCTTGCAGCCGTGGGGCCTTGGCAGCTCCTGCACTGTGTCAGGCACTGTGTACGTTAGTCCTCATTGCGGCCCCAATTCACAGAGGAGGACGCCGAGCTTGGAGAGGAAGCTCTTGCCCAAGGTCACGATCTGACTCCCAAGCCCCCCAAGCTTCTCCCACTACCTCCCACTGAAAGGGTTCCTGTTCTCTGTGACCTCTCCCATCCTGGGGACCCCCTCCATAAAGCTCTGGTGGGTGCCTGCCAAGGGCGATGCAGTTGGGTTTGGAGGGCGAGGTCAGGAAAATCCCAGATGTTAGCAGGACTGGCTTTCTCCAAGACCGGAGTTTCTGCCCCAGCAGCCGCCCTCTGGGATACAGAGTGAGGCGGGGCTCCTTCCCACTTTACAGATGAGAAGACTGAGGTCCTGAGAGTCATGTGGCTAGTCCAAGGTCAAACTCAAGGGAGTGACAGCCTAGGCTAGAAGCTGGTCTCTTTATTGCCCAACTGAGGCTGGAGGGAGACTCAAGTCCCCCTGAGATCTGTGCAAACGCTGACTCCTCCCCGGCCTCCCCAGGGAGCAGAAGAGCCCAGCACCGGAGTCACAGACCTGGTTCAAATCCTGGTTTTGTCTTTTGCATGAACTGTGTGATCTGAGCAAGTCATGAATTACTGGGAGCCTCGATTTCCTTATCTATATGAGGGTGGCGAGCTGGCCTCCTTCACTCAGCCATGAACAAATATTTATTGAGCACCTACTGGGAGAAGCAGGACCCTTCCTCGGGGAACTCAGTCCAGGGGTAACAGCAGCAGTTATGATTCCGGTTGTGATGGAGGAAGGGCAGGGGGCTGTGAGGACCCACAGGAGAGACCCCAGCCAGGTGGGAAGAAGGCAGGCAGGTAGGAGGGCAGAACAGGCAGCGGCTCCCGCAGGACCACGTGGGTTGGGCTCTGGATGCTGTTGGAATTTTCCCAGATCAGCCTGAGCCAACGAAGACTTTTCGGCAGGGAGTGCCATGCTCAGGTTGACGTTCTAGAAAGCTCATCTTCTGCTGGGTGGAGGGGGCATGGAGTGGGGAGGTAGGGTTGGAGGTAGAGAGACCAGCAGGAGCAGTAGGGGGAGGAAGTGGCACCAAGGCGGGAGTAGGGGCAGTTGGGGAGGTGTGGGTGCCTCTCAACAGGTCTGGGAACTGAGAGAGAAGCAGGGGAGGATGGGGAAGGGGCTGTGGGAGATGAGTCCAGTCATGGAGGTGGACATGGATGAGTGAGTTTCAGGTGCCAGAGAAGGGCCCAGGAGGCAGCTGGGGACGGTGGTTTGGGTGTGGTCAGCCTGGGGCTGACATTAGAAGCCTTGGGAGGGGTTGAGGGGCTCTTGGGGTAGGGGAGGAGGAAGCAGGTTTGAGAAAGGCAAGGCAGTGAGCAGGGACCAGGACATCAGGGGAGGCCACTGCTTAGCGTACAAGCAGAGGAGCCCGAGGGGCTGCAGCCTGGGAGGTCATGGGAAAGCAGAGCTGCAGGTCCCCAGCCCAGGAAGGAGGTGGTAGGACTTAGGTCTGCGGGGAGATTTCAGAAGGCGACGTGTCAGGCGCTGTGCCTGGTGCCGGCGCGGATGAGGTGCCCAGGAGGGTCAGCTCCTGCATCTTTTCACCCAAAGGCAGAAGTTTAGTCTATCCCTTACCCTCCTGAGGAGGATGAGGCGGCTACAGAGGGGAAGGTGTTGGGGAAGGAGGAAAAGGGGAAAAACATTTGCATGCATGACAAGGCTGAAGTGAGGGAGAGAGAAAGGGGGAGAAAGACGATAAGAAATTACCATACACCAGGATCTTGTTATTCAAGCTAATTTTCAAAGGACCACAGCTGTCACACTGAGATAATTCGTTAATTATAACAGCCATTGTGCTTTGGCAATGGGAGAGAAACCGAGGCCGGGGAACAGGCTGAAGGTGGGGGTAGGAGCAGGCTGTTGGGGGGGCCTGGACTTCAGAGAGAGGACAGGGACAGAGACAGAGGCAAAGAGGGGTGTGTTGCCCTCAGGACTGAAAGGAAGACATTGTCAGGCCAGGCCCCATCCTTCCTCACTGTCATTGTTGCGGTGGGTAATGAGGTCCTCCTGCCTGCCTGGCATGTGCCACGGTGCCATGCGCCAGGCCCCCACAGCCATACCTACAGGAGGCAGCGTCCTGCAGCTGTGACCCTGCCCAGACCCTGGCCTGTGGCCATCCCCTCCACAGCCCTCTGAGCTGGTGCCCTTCTTGTCCCACTTTACAGAAGAGGAAACTGAGACCCAGGAAAGATTAGCTTGCCAGGACCATGCGGGTGAGGTGGCCTAGCCTGGATTCCAGCTGAATGTGGACCCTGCACTTTGGCAGCACATTAGGGAGGTCCGGTCTTGGTGGACTGGCCACGCGGAGTTGGTGGACGCAGGAGCTGTCACATAGATAGCCTCACGTTCGGGCTGTGGTTTCTGCCCAGCCGGCAGTCCTGGGGCGGCCCTCCCCGGGGAGTTTCCGGGGCTCGGTGTCGACCCCTCTGCACTGACAGAGCCTCCTTGTTCTCTGATGCTGCAGCTGCAGGCCCCCTGTGGCCTCAGAGGCGGCCGTCAGTCTGGCCTGGACCCTCCCACCTGCTCTAGAGAAAGCTGGTCTCAGGGCCGGGGGGAGGGAATTTGGGCCACCCCAGGTAGTGTCCATAGTGACCCCTTGCGACTGCCTGGTTAGAGGTTCTGAAGCGACAGAAGCTGAGTGGGCTGTGGCCTCAGGAGGGGTTTCTCAGCCTGGGCCTAGAGGGCTCCAGGACCCTGGGTGCTGGGCCCTGGTAGGGACGGGCTGGGGCGTGGCAGGCAGGTGTTCCAGTCCCAGGTGAGCAGAGTGAGGGGATCCTAAGTCCGTGGGGAGAGGGGTGGGACCAAGGAGCCATTCCAGAAACCCCAGGGCCCCTTGGTGAACTGTGGTGTGGCTTCAGGAACTCAGGTCTCCTGGTGTCCACAGCGGCCATGCCTGGAAACAGCACCTAGGCTAGGTCAGCTGGCAGCGTTCTGTGGGGTGGGAATGATGTTTGGGAGAGGGTAACCCCCAAATCCCAGTAGGAGCCCCAAATTTGACCCAGGTAGGGTTGTTGGCAGTGGAAAAGTGGGCCCCACAGGGTGGCAGGTGGGCCTGGGGTGGCTGTGTGGGAGCTCCCTTGGCTTGGGGACCTCTCCCCAGTGGGGCTGCTTGCAGCCAAGGGGAAGCTGTCGGAGGGTCAGGACAGCTTAAAGTCCTGTAGAACTGGTGACCCACAGAGGCCAAGACACAGGAGACTTTTAGGACCAAATAAATGGTAGATACATCCTAGAACCCTTGAACCCCAGACTCATAGTTGGAGACCTCCCTCCCTGAATGACAGATCCACACTGTTAGTATCCTGGTGCTAAAACCCAGGAGCCGTGGGTCAGGAGGATAGGGGAGGGGGCTCGAGGTCAGGCAGGGGTCAAGTACAGGAGGCAGGGATTGGGGCACCCTTGGGTCCCAGGCTGAGAGGCTCGCAGGAATACTCCTGACAGACTGGGGTTCTACTTGTCCCCACGCTGGTGTCCCCTTGTTGCTGACCTCATAAACTCCAGTGTGCGGGGGTCAGCTGGCCACCTAAGCCAGAGAGGCAGGGAGGAGGTTGGACGCCACCCCGGCCGGTGCCACTGCTGTCCCTCCAGGGATGCAGCCCCAGGGAAGCCAGATCTTCCCTGTATCTCAGTGGATTCCAGAAATGAGAATTTTTGAAATAAAATCTGCCAAGTTTTCAATATTGGCAGCTGATTTAAAAAAAAATGTGAAAACCACCATCCAGATGAAACAGGATCCCACAGCAGCTCTTGAACAGAGCCTGGGGCCGTGGAGGCTGGAAGCCACTGCATAGCAGTTGTGAGGCCTCGGTTTCCTCATCTGCAAAGTGGGAATAGTGATAGTGCTTTTAAGACGTTTAAAGTTGGCCCAGGATCAAATGAGTTCATATGGGAAGTGCGGAGGCCCAGCCGGTGCAAGCACTGAAGCCTCTTCTCATCTTGTCCGTGGCCGCCCATCCCTCCCCGGGCTACCTCTCAGGGGGCTTCGCTCTCCGCCACTGGAGCCTCCACTTCCCCCTTGGGGTCTCCACATGCACTGCCCCTGTCTTGGGACAGCCCTGAGGGTGCTGGAGGGCAGGGAAGCGTCCGCCCCTTGGGACCCTGGAGGAGGAGCAGGTGGAGGAGGCAGAGCCAGGAGGGCGGGCCTAGCCGGCGCCTGGTACATAGTAGGTGCTCCATAAATGTTTATTGAATGAATGAATGGAGGCCATGCAGGCAGAGGCAGCCGTGCTGCGCAGGCACTGGTGAAAGAGCGGGTCCAGTGGACACTGGTGAGTAGTGCCCAGGGGCTGCAGCTGAGGGGGCCAGCAGGGGCCGGTCGGGGAGGCGAAGGTCAAGTCGGGAGAGGGCAGGGGTCAGATGGGGAGAGGCCAGGGGTCGGGAGTGGGAATTGGCGTCAGGTGGGGAGAGGGCAGGGGTCGGGAGTGGGAATTGGCGTCAGGTGGGGAGAGGCCAGGGGTTGGGAGTGGGAATTGGGGTCAGGTGGGGAGAGGGCAGGGGTCGGGAGTGGGAATTGGGGTCAGGTGGGGAGAGGGCAGGGGTTGGGAGTGGGAATTGGCGTCAGGTGGGGAGAGGGCAGGGGTCGGGAGTGTCAGGTGGGGAGAGGGCAGGGGTCGGGAGTGGGAATTGGGGTCAGGTGGGGAGAGGGCAGTGTTGGGAGTGGGAATTGGGGTCAGGTGGGGAGAGGCCAGGGGTCAGGAGTGGGAATTGGGGTCAGGTGGGGAGAGGCCAGGGGTTGGGAGTGGGAATTGAGGTCAGGTGGGGAGAGGCCAGGGGTCAGGTGTGGGAGGCAGGGTCAGGTGGGGGAGGCAGGGTCAGGCAAGGGCAAGTGGGGAGTGGCTGGAGGTCATGGGGGGTGAGGAGGTGGGGTCAAATGGGGTGAGGCCAGGGGTCAGGTGGAGGTGGGGTCAGGTGTGAGAGGCAGAGTCCATGGAGGAGGTGGGATCCAGAGGAGGAGAAGTAAAGGCCAGGCTGGGGAGAGAGCGGGTGAGGGAGGCAGTCTCGAGTAGCCTGGAGAATTCTGGGAAAGCCAGGAGGTGGGTTTTTAAACACAGGTCATCAGTCATCCTTGGCTGTGGGACAATCCTGTCCCCAGGTGCTTGGTGGTGGGTGGGCTGGGGTGGGGGTTTGCCAGGGAGTGGGCACTGCTCACGGGCCGTGCGGTTACAGCTGCCCCCAGAACCAGGCTCAGGCCTCTCCTGTCGGGCCATGGGGTGGTTTGCCAAGGCCAAGCCCTTTGGTAAAACCCTTCACCCCCTGCCTCTCTCCTTCCACCAAGGCTTGGACACGGAGTAGGTACTAAAGATGACTGTGGCACCCTGTGAGCAGGGGAGGCACGGGGACCAGGTGAGCCATGGGGGGTGACACGGTGGGCAGGTGACAGGGCTTTGGGGTGGCTCAGCAAACCAGAGACATGCGTGTACTGTGGTTTTCCTCCAAACAGATGAGGAAACTGAGGCCCAGGGAAGTGAGGTGCTGACTTGCCCGAGGTCACATTGGGCCCAGCGGCCCAGCCCCAAGCCCCTTCTTTGGCTGAGGTTACGCCTCGAGATGCGCGTCCCAAGCACCAAGGCCTTGCAGAGCCCCTGCCGCCTTGGCTGTCAGCTGTTGGTGCTGTGTCGTTCTTGTTAAGCTCTTTTGAGTAAGAAGGCAGCTTAGTGAAGGGGAGGCAAATCTGTCTGACCCAGGACCAGACGCATAGTAGGTGTTCAGGGAATATACGTGGAATGCGTAAGAAACATGGGCAGTGTGCGGCTGCTTGGACCCCATGCCTCACCCAGCCCAGGGCTAAACTACAGGCAGGGCCCCTCGCCCGGGCCTGGTCCCTGTTTCCCTGTGACACAGATGCAGTCATGGCCTGCTCACCCTGTGCAGGATGACACAGAGCCCGGGGCAGGAGCCAGCTCCCCCTGGGACCCGGAGCAGCTGGTGTGCAGGGCTGAGACTAACAAGACATGATTGAATGGGGGTGGATGAACACCCAGCACCTTGGAAGAGACCTAAACAGATACTGCCCAGAGCTGCCCGAGGACCTTGAGAGGGCACCAGGGCTGCCTGGCCGTGTGTGTGAAGGGGCCTGGGGGTTTGGTTGACATCTAGGACAAGGTGAGGACATGACGCTGGTCCCTCCTTACTGTCGCTGCATGAACAGAAGCAGGGAGCCCAGCCGAGGGAGGTGGAGGCCTCTGGAGCTGATCCTGCTCCGAACGCATTGGCACTGGTGCTTGGTTCCAGGCAACACATTGTAAGAGGGACCTTGACAGTAAGCATGACCCGAGCAGCTGTACCCAAGGGCAGGAGGGACTTGTCACCACAGCATAGAAGAGCAGGTAGAGGACGCGGTGCTGTTTAGCTTGGATAAATGGAGCGATAACAGACCAGCAGATGTCAGAAGGGTCTTTATGGGGTACTGGCCTTGTCCCTAGTGGCTCCAGAGAGTAAGGTGGCAGCCATGAACAGAAGCACAAGGAGCCAGACTTGGCTTTGTAGTAGAAGAATTTTCTAGCAATCATAGCTGTTCGAGAAGGGAGTCAGGGCCGGGTGCGATGACTGGGTGTAATCCCAGCACCTTAGTAGGTATAGGTGGGTGGATCACTTGAGCTCAGGAGTTCAAGACCAGCCTGGGCAACATGGTAAAGCCCCATCTCTGCCAAAAATACAAAACAATTAGCTGGGCGTGGTGGCGTGAGCCTATGGTCCCAGCTACTCGGGAGGCTGAGACACAAGAATTGCTTGAGCCTGAGAGGCAGAGGTTGCAGTGAGCTAAGACTGTGCTGCTGCATGCCGGCCTGGGTGACGGAGCTAGCTAGACTGTCTGAAAAAAAAAAAGAAAAAAGGCCTGGCACGGTGGCTCATGCCTGTAATCCCAGCACTTTGGGAGGCCGAGGCGGGCGGATCACAAGGTCAAGAGATGGAGACCATCCTGGCCAACATGGTGAAACCCCATCTCTATTAAAAATACAAAAATTAGCTAGGCGTGATCGCGCGTGCCTGTAGTCCCAGCTACTTGGGAGGCTGAGACAGGAGAATCACTTGAACCCGGGAGGTGGAGGCTGCAGTGAGCAAAGGAAAAAAAAAAAGGAGAACCAGGTGGGTGCTGAGAGCCCTGTCACTGGAGGTCGGCAGGTGACGGGACATCATCTTCCAGGGAGGAGTCTTGGAAAGTCCGCTGCTTCCACGAGCTCAGGCTGGCCTGGGTTCTTGGCTGTGTGGTCTTGGGCGCATCACTGCACCTCTCTGAGTCTCAGTTCCTTGCCTATAAAATGGAAGGCATAAGGAGGGTGGTGAGGCCAAAAGGAAGGCTCGGTACATTTTGTGCCCCCATCAGAGGGAGGCTTCTCCCTCTGATACTGAAGATTCTGACTCAGTGAAGTCAGGGGCTCCAGGATCTGCCTCGCATCTCTAGCCTGGAGCTCTCATTCCACACAGCACGTCCCGAGAACCTGCTGTATGTCTGACCCTGTTCTAGGCATGGGGGTTACAGCAGGGAACAAGGTCAAATCCTGCTTTGCTCTTCTGGGGATGGGGCAAGGCAGGGCAATGATGAACTAAGTGACATCAGGTGGTGCTGGCTGCTGTCAGGGGACTGAAGCCTGGGTTGGGTGAGGAGTGAGTTATCTCAGACTGGGGGGCCAGAGAAGGCAGGGGTCAGGGGTAGGGAGCGATTGAGCAGAGATCTCAGTGAAGTGGATTATGGGGATTCTGGGGGAAGAACATTCCAGGCAGAGAGAAGAGCAAAGGTCCTGGGGTGGGAGTGTGCCTAGGGGTTTGAGGAGCGCAGCTGGCCTGGAATCAGTACTTCCTGATTGACGGAAACATCGAAGTCTCTCGAGGCTTGTGGACAACTCCCCCTTGCACCTTTCCTCTGACAGGGGCAGAAAACCCAGTAGACTGGTCCAGTGTATGTCCCGCCCCTGCCATGGTCCCAGCTCTTTGGAGGGAAGCCAGGGAGGAGAGAGCCTTCGTCTCCTCATCTGTACGATGAGGCTGACAGCGCCAGCTGTGTGGGGTTGATATCAGATTCAAGGAACGTCAAATGTCAAGACACAAAGGAGCATTGGACAAAGGGTATATGACTATGTTAGAGGCCAGGAGACTGAAGCCCAGAGGAGTTAGGGAATGTGCCTGATGTCACACAGCTCAGCATTCGATCCCAGGACCCTTCCTCGAACCATCCATGCCCTGAAGCAAGGGCTCATTGCGCTGGAAATCCAAACAGTTAACTTACCGAACGGTCATTCCATGGCGAAGGTATAATCCTCCCACTTTACAGACGAGGAACTGAGGCCCAGGGAGCTCCAGGCGGTGACAAGACCAGTGTTCAGACCCCCGCCTTGAGTTTCTTCCCCGGGGGGTGGCAGACTTTGTCCCTGAGGGCGGAGTTCCTGGCCTGGTGCTAGGGTTCCAGCAGTGAGGGGTGAGGCGGCTGCCTGCCTGAGAGATCTGGCTGGGCCCCAGAAGTCCTCCGTCCTCCTAATCCTCAGTAATGGCATTGACACGGACGCTGACAATGACACCTCCGGGAGCCTTGGCCAGCCTGGCTCAGGGAAGAGCCCGTGCCAGGGCTTATGAGCTGCTGCAAATGAGATTTCCCTGGCCGAGCCTCACGTCCCTGCTCCTGGGAGGCCAGACCGAGCTTTCCCCACCTGCTCCTGGAGCTGACGGGTGTCCCTGCAAGAGTGTGGCCACACAAGTGGGAGCCTGGGGTGGTGCGTTTGTGGGGCCTCCTGCCCTGGACTGAGCGTGTGTGTGTCTGTCATGTCTTGGGATTTCGGGGGAACTCTGGTAGCCGGGTGGTACTCACCTTGCCACATGGGGAGAAACTGAGGCTCGGAGAGGGCCTGCAGCTCACCCAGGGTCTCACAGCTGATGGGACCTTCATCTTCCCTGCTGACCTCCGCTGCCTGCATCCCCAGCTGGCCTCGCTCTGTCCACCCTCTCATCCACCCTGGGGAGTTAGCCCAACCCCCTCAGCCCCTCCCACACACCACAGTGCAGTGGGGGCTGTCCCCGGGTCGGGGGTTCAGACGCTCCTCTGACAGGGAAGCTTGGGAGTCAGCCTATAGTAGGGGGCCGAGAGGACGTGACCCCGAGGTTCAGCGAGCTTGAGTCCAGGGGAACCCTGATCTTGGGTGATGAGGGTTGTGAAGAAATAACGATAAAACCCCCGTTAACAACAGCGGCTGTCGTTCACAGAGGCCAGGCACTGTGCCAGGCTTGCCCTCTGAGGGCGGCGGGGGTGGGGCTGATCCAGGACTCCCTTGGCTTCTCAGTTCTGAGTCCAGAGAGCGGCCCGGGACCTTGGAGCACCCGGGCGGAAAGGGCACAAACCCAGCGGGATCACTGGGCAGCTGACTACCTGGAGAGGGGAGGCATTTGCCTAGAGTGACTCTGGGGTCTGCGGTCCTGCCCAGCTCTGAACTGAGACCCCTGCACCACCAGCTCTGCCCTCAGAGCAGCAAGGGCTGTGGGGTCTCACTGACTCTCCTTTCTGCCCACGAATGTCCCCATGAGAGGGGATGTCATACAGCATGCAACCGGCAGACCAGGAGCCCCCGATAACGGCATGCACCCTGGCTGTGCAGCTGTTTCTTCTGTGGTGGAAGGAGAGAGTGCCCCTTAAAGACAGCTGCTGCTGGGGCACTTGGGACCTGAATGGGGAAATGCTCTAGGGGAAGGGTCCAGTCAGGCCAGGGCGGACTGCTCTTTGCTGGAACACGCCACCCCTCAATGCCTGCTTGCCTGCATGGCTGCACCCCTCCTGGGCTGTGCCACCGAGGCTCTGGGCAGAAGAGGCCTCTGCGCCCCACAGCTGCTTCCGCCGCTCCCCCTTCCCTCTGGGCTGGTCACAGGCTGCATTCTGGTGGTTCAGCCAGACCAGGTGTCAATTGTCTCCCTGGCCTCTGGGCCGGGGGAGGGAAGCAGGTGCCCGTGTCCCCTGCCCCCCCCATCCATCATCTAGATAGCTCACTACCATCGGTGCCTCTGTCTCAGACGCGCTTTCTCCTTTTCTCTCCTCCTCTGTCTGTCTCTGCTCGGCTGTCTTAATATTTTTGCTTTTACACCATTCTCAGTGCTCGCCTCCTCCCTGCAGCGCCCCCCTTCTTCCCGTCTCTCACCACCTGGGTATGTGGGGTGCTGCCCTGTCCCCCTTGCTGTGTGTGTGGGAGGACCACCCTCATGGGAGGAGGGGAAGGGCATGACTTTGGCCATGTGACCACTGGACCCTCAGCCTCAGACCTGAGAGGACAGGCTGGCGTCCCCACCCTCCACACCTTGAGTGTGTGAGCAGCTGGGCCAGGGGCCAAGTGCTGCTGTCAGCGCCTTCTCTGCCTCGGCCTCTCTGTTCCTTCCGTGGCTGCGTCAGGTCTCCACGGGTGGCAGGCAGGCAGGCAGGCAGCCCGGGATGAGGACCGGGCAGCTGATGCACCTGGGACAGGGCGATGGGAGCCTCCTCCCAGCTCCATCTGAGTCACGGGGGTGGGTGGCAGCTGGTTCCAGCCCAAGCCATCCTGGAGACCAGGAGGAAGAGGAGCGAGGGCCACAGACAGGTCACCTTGAGGCTCAGGTGGGCAGAGCTCCGAGTGGCTGGGGTTGGGGCACGGAGGGCCTCTGCCCACCCTGGACTGTTTGGGAAGAGCTGGGGGGGGCTAGCTCCCCTCCCACGTGGGCCTCTTCTCCCACGCCCCTCCACGCTCAGCGTCCTCCCATCCTTCGGCAGGGCCTGGGCTTTCCCAGGGCTCCAGACGGCTTGACTTTGCCCAGTACCCTGGGTCTGGCTGTGGGGATGCTGGTTTGAGCAACTCAGATGTGAAGAGAGGGGCTGGAGTTGCATGTAGGCACACACACGTGTAGAACACACAGCACACACATGTACTTAAACATGCCAACTATAACATAGATGGGTGCTTGCATTCCCTGGGATGTCCCCGACACGCATACCTTCCCGCCCCTCCACACACAAGCACATACCCCCGCAGCGGATGCACGGGACGTGTGCACACGCGCCTGCCCGCACATCCTTGACTTGTACACGTCAGCACACCCCTGCATCAGCACTCTGAGCCACCTGCGTGTGCACCTGCATACAAATGCGGTCCCCAGACATTCCCCGATGAGGAGGAGGGACTGCATTGGAGCAGACGAGGGTCCTCTGACAGGCCGGCTCGTGGATCTCTGAAGTGGCAAGCAATTCCAGTACAACCTTGCTACCTGTGGGAGGGGAAACTGAGGCTCAGAGAGGAATAGAACTGGCCTGGGGTGCCCTAGGAGCCGGTGGCCGTGCTGGACGGGGGCCAAGGTCTCTGCAGCCCTGAGACCTTTGCATAGCACAGCCAAGGCCAGAGCTGCTGTCTGCTGCCTGGGCACCCCTTGCTGCCTGGCTGCCTTGTGGCACCCCCAAGCTGGTTCTGTAGCAACTGGGGAGGTGTGAGGCTGGCCTCAGAGGTCCAGATCATCACAGCCTCTGACGTAGCGTCAGCCTTTAGTCCAGCGGACCATCTGGACTCCCTGTTCACCTCTCACCATCCCCACCTCGGACTTCCTGTGGGATTAACCCCGCCTCCGCACCCATTTCCCTTTCCTCTGTTCCAGCCCTCTGAGGCTCAGTGCTGTAAATTGGTTTTGCTTTAATGGCAAAGGTTTAAAAATTGTTTTAAGTGCTCTTTCCTGGACTTTCCCAGGAGGAGGAGGAGAGAGAGGCAGAGGTGGCTCTTGTGAAAAGTCTCTGACTTTCTGTGTCCAAACGTGGATTTCTCAGACCTAATCTTCACATCCCTGGCCCCTGCTGGGCTGTTTCCATAGTTGAGAGCACAGGGTGGGGGCTGGGGCTGGGGTCTGTCCAAGGGGCTGTGTCCAGCTTGCTGGGCAACCTGGCCAAATCTCCCCTGAGTCTGTGGCTCAGTTTCCCCACTTGGAAAGTGAGGGTTGATGCAGATGGTCTGCTGCTGTGACCCCCGTGGTGCCTCCCTGCCCTTCTGCATCTTGGAAATGGGCAGCGTGAGTCCCCTGCTGCTTCTCCCCCATCAAGTGGGCCGGAAAGGGACCCACTTTGTAGCTGTGGAAATAGACTCAGAAGATGTTGTGGTTTACCTAGCTGACTGGGCTGAGTAGATGTGGGGCTCCAGGCCTCCTGACTTCTGGCTTGGGCTCAGTGCCTTGGGAACCTTGATCCTGGTCCAGGCTGTGCTGTGTTAGTTGGGGCAAATCTCTGTCCCTCTCTGGGCTTCTGACTCTCCAGCCATGGAAGGGGAGCTGGGCCTCAGCCATGCTATTCCAGAAGGCTGGCCCCCTCCCAAGGATCAAGGTGTGCCAGGGAAGGCACTTTGGGGAGATGATACTGGGGCACCTCTGGCCTCCCAGAGGCTTGCCTTTCTTTCCCTTGTCTCTGCTCTGCCTGTGCGGTGAGCTCTCCCCATGCCCTCCCACTGTGGGAGACCCTGGCTTCTGCGTCCCCCTGCTTGGGGGGCCCCACAGCTGCGATGTTCTACTCCCCCTCCCCCATGGAAGCTGAGACAAGGGAATTATTTTTGGAACAAGAGCAGTTACACAACAAATGAATTATTTATCTTTGGGCCTGGAGGAAAGGAGGCATTTTGCTGGGCTTCTTAATTCTTTATCTGGATTCAGGGGTACCCGCTTGGGTACGTGGACATGTGTGTATGCGCCTGCTTGTCGTGTGCAGATTGTAGGTGTGCTCGTGTGTGTGTGTGTAGCTGTCTGCGTGTGCATGCCATGGAGGTCTGGCTCATATGGGGGCATGTGGGTCTCTGTGCAGGTGGGGGGATGAGCGTGGTCTCCAGGGTGCTGGGGGGTGTGTGTCTGCACCTGTGCCCACCTGTTTCTCTCCGGTGTCCCTTCTGTGCCCATGGTCCTCAGACTCTGCCCCTACTCCCACTATTCTTCTGTCTCCCTCCATCCCAGCCCCTGGGCCCCCTCCTGCCTCTTGCCGCCCACCAACCCTGCTTCTTTGATGTAACAGAGACCCCGGAGTGCTTGCTGGCACAGAGGCCCTGGGATGGGGTGTGGAGAAGGGACGGGGGGCCTGCGCTGGAGCTTGACGGGGCTGCTCTGAGCCCTCACACTGATCTGTCACCCACTCTCGATGCTGCCTTTCAGGAACCAGGTGCAGATGGGTCTCTTCCTTCCTGCCCCCATCTCCCTCACTCCCTGCTCAGTGCGGCACTCTCCAGCTTCCTGTGGGAATCGTCTGAAGTTCTGAGCCCGGAAGCCAAGGAGGAAGACGAGGAGGAGGAGGAGGAGGAGGGAGAGGAAGTCAAGCCCTGAGAACTCTTACACCTTCCTAGCAGGAGACAAGGAGCAACCCTGCCGTGGGGCCCCCAGCCCCAGCCAGGCCTAGTGCCTGCTGTAGCACCCTAGAAGGCCCCCAGCAGTTGGCACTAGCTGTACCCACCTTGCCTGGGGCCCCCGTGCTGGGGGTTGCCCCCAAGATGGTGGCAGCCCCAGGGAGGACTGTACTGCCAGCCCCAGTCTCTGGCCGCTAGGCACCCCCTGCCTTGCCCCGGCCCCTCACTCCAAGGCCAGCGCCATGCTGCGCCTGGGGCTGTGGGCGGCGGCGCTGCTGTGCGTGTGCCGGCCGGGTGCCGTGAGTGCCGACTGCTGGCTCATTGAGGGCGACAAGGGCTACGTGTGGCTGGCCATCTGCAGCCAGAACCAGCCGCCCTACGAGACCATCCCGCAGCACATCAACAGCACCGTGCATGACCTGCGGCTCAACGAGAACAAGCTCAAAGCCGTGCTCTACTCCTCACTTAACCGCTTTGGGAACCTCACCGACCTCAACCTCACCAAGAACGAGATCTCCTACATCGAGGACGGTGCCTTCCTGGGCCAGTCGAGCCTGCAGGTCCTGCAGCTGGGCTACAACAAGCTTAGCAACCTGACGGAGGGCATGCTGCGCGGCATGAGCCGCCTGCAGTTCCTCTTTGTCCAGCACAACCTCATCGAGGTGGTGACGCCCACCGCCTTCTCCGAGTGCCCGAGCCTCATCAGCATCGACCTGTCCTCCAACCGCCTCAGCCGCCTGGACGGTGCCACCTTTGCCAGCCTCGCCAGCCTGATGGTGTGTGAGCTGGCCGGCAACCCCTTCAACTGTGAGTGCGACCTCTTCGGCTTCCTGGCCTGGCTTGTGGTCTTCAACAACGTCACCAAGAACTACGACCGCCTGCAGTGCGAGTCGCCGCGGGAGTTTGCCGGCTACCCGCTGCTGGTGCCCCGGCCCTACCACAGCCTCAACGCCATCACCGTACTCCAGGCCAAGTGCCGGAACGGCTCACTGCCCGCCCGGCCCGTGAGCCACCCCACGCCCTACTCCACCGACGCCCAGAGGGAGCCAGACGAGAACTCGGGCTTCAACCCCGATGAGATCCTTTCGGTGGAGCCACCAGCCTCATCCACCACGGATGCATCGGCAGGGCCTGCCATCAAGCTGCACCATGTCACGTTCACCTCGGCCACCCTGGTGGTCATCATCCCACACCCCTACAGCAAGATGTACGTCCTGGTGCAGTACAACAACAGCTACTTCTCCGATGTCATGACCCTCAAGAACAAGAAGGAGATCGTGACGCTGGACAAACTGCGGGCGCACACGGAGTACACCTTCTGCGTGACCTCGCTGCGCAACAGCCGCCGCTTCAACCACACCTGCCTGACCTTCACCACGCGGGACCCCGTCCCCGGAGACTTAGCGCCCAGCACCTCCACCACGACCCACTACATCATGACCATCCTGGGCTGCCTCTTCGGCATGGTTATCGTGCTGGGAGCCGTGTACTACTGCCTGCGCAAGCGGCGCATGCAGGAGGAGAAGCAGAAGTCCGTCAATGTCAAGAAGACCATCCTGGAGATGCGCTATGGAGCTGATGTGGATGCTGGCTCCATTGTGCATGCCGCCCAGAAACTGGGCGAGCCTCCCGTGCTGCCCGTGTCTCGCATGGCCTCCATCCCTTCCATGATCGGGGAGAAGCTGCCCACCGCCAAGGGGTTGGAGGCTGGGCTGGACACGCCCAAGGTGGCCACCAAAGGCAACTATATCGAGGTGCGCACAGGCGCCGGTGGGGATGGTCTGGCTCGGCCCGAGGATGACCTCCCGGACCTCGAGAACGGCCAGGGCTCTGCTGCAGAGATCTCCACCATTGCCAAGGAGGTGGACAAGGTCAACCAGATCATTAACAACTGCATTGATGCCCTCAAACTGGACTCGGCCTCTTTTCTGGGAGGCGGCAGTGGCAGTGGGGACCCCGAGCTGGCCTTCGAGTGCCAGTCCCTCCCTGCAGCTGCTGCCGCCTCCTCAGCCACTGCCCCCGGGGCCCTGGAGCGGCCCAGCTTCCTTTCACCTCCCTACAAGGAGAGTTCCCACCACCCACTACAGCGCCAGCTGAGCGCCGACGCGGCTGTGACCCGCAAGACCTGCAGCGTGTCGTCCAGTGGTTCCATCAAGAGCGCCAAGGTCTTTAGCCTGGACGTGCCCGACCATCCGGCCGCCACAGGGCTGGCCAAGGGCGACTCCAAGTACATCGAGAAGGGCAGCCCCCTCAACAGCCCGCTGGACCGGCTCCCACTGGTGCCGGCGGGCAGTGGTGGGGGCAGCGGCGGGGGCGGGGGCATCCACCACCTGGAGGTGAAGCCAGCCTACCACTGCAGTGAACACCGGCACAGCTTTCCCGCCCTGTACTACGAGGAGGGTGCCGACAGCCTGAGCCAGCGCGTGTCCTTCCTCAAGCCGCTGACCCGCTCCAAGCGTGACTCCACCTACTCACAGCTCTCCCCCAGACACTACTACTCAGGGTACTCCTCCAGCCCAGAGTACTCATCCGAGAGCACGCACAAGATCTGGGAGCGCTTCCGGCCCTACAAGAAGCACCACCGGGAGGAGGTGTACATGGCCGCTGGTCACGCCCTGCGCAAGAAGGTCCAGTTTGCCAAGGATGAGGATCTGCATGACATCCTCGATTACTGGAAGGGGGTCTCGGCCCAGCAGAAGCTGTGACCCCCCTTCCTCCCTGGTGAGGTCGGAGCCAGAGGGCTGGGGGCCCTTTGGGGGAAGGATCCAGGCGGCCGGGGCGGGGAGCAGACTCGGGGGCCGAGGCCCAGGAGAGGACGCACATGCAGACCCGCACGCACGCACGCACACACACACCTGACCACCACCCGACTGTGAACAAACCAACATCCGACAATAACGGACAGGAAAACAGAGACACATTTTCCTTAAAGTTTACAAACTGATACCGAAACCAGTCGTCTACTGTGCTGCCCAGGGACTCTGCTGGGGTGTGCAGGGCCGGGGGCCGGCGTGGGGAGGAAGGAAGCCAAGAGAGAGTGTGGGGTCTGGGGGTCTGGGGCTAGAAACAGGTGTGGGGACCAAGAAGGCTCGGGTAGAGAGGGACTGAAGCCCCTCTGGGGTAGGGAGAGGGTCCCCTCCCAAGCTGGGGGTCAAGTCACCTGCAGATTTAGCATTAGACAGACAATGGGCAATGTCTCCTTCCACTTTAGAGAGGGGGAAACTGAGGCCCAGATAAGGGAGTTGACAACCCCAGGGTCACACAGCAGCTTAGCCTCAAGTCCCCCAACTTCCCAGCCCAGTCCTGTCCCAGACCCCCTGCAGCTCCCTTGTGGACCCCTTCCCGCCTTCCACCCACCCTACATCCCTTTCTGAAGTTCTCCCCTTGGGGCTGAGGGACTTGAGAATCAGGCAGTGCTTTTTCTTCCTAGAAAGCCACATGACAGTGCCCCCAGAGCGTGCAGCTGTGATTCAGAATCCTGGGGGGCTTTTGCCCCCTACGCCAGCACCCAGGAGAAGGGAGAGGGTCCTGTTGACGGGAAAGGAGCCGAGGCAGGGCGACATTCCACCAGCCCACTTCAAGTGTCTTCCACGTGGCCTGGGAAGAGTAGGGCGTGTGGCGGGCAGGCCAGCTACCAGGACATCTCAGGTGCAGGTCCCCGGCCTCAGCTTCTCTGGTCCTCTGAGACCCCTGCCCACTGCAGAAGGGCAGCGGTGCACTGTGATGCCTGGGGGGCTGCAGGGAGGAGCTGTCATGGGAGACTTCCTGCCTGTCCCCATGGCCTGCGTCCCCACCTGCCCGACCCCGTCGTGGGATCTCGGCTCCTGTCTCAGCTGCCCACCCGGGGAAGGAGGGCTTTCTTACCCACCCACTCTGGGCTGCTCATCCAGGCCTGGCCCCCTGGCCAGAGGGGCTCCCATGTTTCCATGGCAATGGCCACTCCCCTTTTTCTGACCCCCCACCCAACATCAAACAAAGCACAAACAGTGAGGCCCCCACCCGAGAGGGGCGGGGAGCAGGTTGGGTTCGTGGCGCCCTGCCCCCTCCCAGGCGGCCTCTGTCACCATGGTAACCCTGTGCCTGGCAGTTGGTGCCCAGAGTGACCGTTGGGCTCTGGGGTTCTCTGTCCGTGTAGGCGGTGGCAGAGGGTGGTGAGGGTGGTGAGGGAGGCCCAGCCTGGCAGCAGCTCCTGGGGCCAGCTCTTTTGGGAGGCAAATCTGGGGTCCTGATACTGGGGTCTTGACCAGTCAGGATGCTGATGGGCTGAAGTCCATCATCCTTCACCTCTGGGTGGGAGCTGGGCCAGTGGGGTGTGGGAACGCTTGTACTAGCAGCTTTGCCTGCCTAGCAACGTGTCCCTTGGCTCCCACCCACCTCAGCATGGGGGGGCCTTGGCTCTCCCCACGGCCCTGCCGGAGACCTCCAGTCTTGGGCCTGTGGCCCACATGGGTTTCCTGAGATTTGGGGAGTGTGACTGAGGGGTGAGGGTAGGCACTGGAGTGGCACCAAGACTGGCACTGTTGGTGGGGAGGGGCTCTGACCAGGAAAGCTAGTGCCATCCCCTAGGGGACCCCAACGACCTTCCTGCTGGGGGCAGGGGGTGGGGGAGGACAGCAGAGGGCTAGGAGGCTTGGGCTCAGCTGAGCACCTCTCTCACACCAACTTTGGGTGAACAAAGCCCAGGGCTCACTTTGAGAGTGACGTTTGCAAAGAAAAGACTGTTCTCCCGGGGCGAGGAGGGGAGGGGGCGGCATGGATGCGCGGAGCAGACCTCCCTCCCCCGGCCCCCAAAACCTGCCCCCCAACCCCTCCTCACACCCAGTCGGCACAACTGAGAAAAGCAAGCAGGCAGAGAAGCCAGGGGTGTGAGGAGGCAGACTCCCTGTTATATTTGCATGACGATTTTACTGTATTTTTCTGAGCAAACATCTGTCGTGTATGTGCCAGTTTGTCCAGACTCCCCCGCCCCCTCTCTGATGCCCTCCTTTCCCACATTCCGTCTGTTGTGATCTGACGAGCAGCTCTTGAAACCCAGGGAGGGGTCAGCTCTGCAAAAACAGACCCAAAACAGGTGCCACCAAGACACAGCCCTGCCCCACACCCACCTCCTGTGTTTCGAGCATTGGGCCCAAGTGCCACCTCCCTTCCTCCCTCCCTCCTTTGCCACCTCCCTTGTCCCTAGTTCCTTCCCCTCCTCCATGCCAGGGAGGGCAGCCCCAGGGAAGCCTCCTCAAGGGCTTGTGTCCCGGTGGAAGGGACTGTCTCTCAGTCCCTCTTGTTGCCATTTTGCAGATGAGGAAGTCAGGGCTCCCAGACAGGGGCCTGGTGACTTGGCTGGCCAGCTGGGGTGGAGGATCAGTCACACTGCTGAGTATAGGAGGCCAGGAGCTTGAGGCTTCTTGGGGGGCTTCATGCAGAGGCTGGGGGCTTTGAGAAAGGAACCCATGGGAAGAAGGAGCACGCCTGGGGTGGGCCCCAGGGAGGGTTCCCGGCAGCAGGAGTTGGGGGCCCGTGCTTACCATTTCCCCATCCTTCCTGCGTGAAGATATCTATCAAAACCTCAGACACTCTGACTGCGGGGACAGGGGCCCTTCTAAAGAGCAGGACTCTGATCATCCACCGGGGGAACTGGCCTTGAAGACCCAGTTCACGTGGTTCTTTGTGAGGCCGAGCAGGGTCTAAACTTGGGTCTCTGGCCTCCCGGCCAGGCCAGAGCCCACCCCGAGGCTGGCCTGCATCTGTGTCCCGCATCCTGCTCAGGACGAGTTTTTCCCAGGCAGGCAGGAAGTATTCGCAAAACGCTGCCATGCAAGGTCTGGGTTTGTGATGGTGATGAGCATGGTGGAGCTGGGCTGTGGTCTGGGGCAGGCCAGCAGGGCAGACACCAAGAGAGGAGGACAGGGGGGCCACAGGGAGGGAGGGGAGATGAGGGTTCGGTGGAGCAAGGGGCCAAGCTGGCTGGAGGACATGTGGGTGCTGCGCCCTGGACGGAAGCCTCCTGCCTTGGGCCCGAACGAGGTCACACCTGGGCTTGCCTGCCTCTGTTGGAGAATCTCCTCTGAAGCTGTTTCTGGGAAGTAGCATGATGGATCTGCTCCTTCCTGAAGGGCACAGCAGGTGCAGCTAACCCTCCGCTGGAGCTTATGGCCTTCCAGAAGCAAAACACGGAGGTCTGGAAGGAAGGCAGGGAAGCCTGGTTGGTGGGGAAACCTCGTCACAGGTCCCGGCCTTGCTTCTCCCCACGGCAGGAGGAGTCTCTCTCTGCCCACCAAAGATTCCTCACCTGGGCTCCCTTCCTGGGGCAGTGCAGGAGGCCTGTGGGGGCAGCCTGTGTCCAGGCTGGGGAGCCCGTGTCTGGGTAGGTCTGGGAAAAGGCCTGTCAGGGGAGTGAGGAGGGTGGGAGTAAGAAGACCCACTTGGGAAGGCCAGGCCTGGATCGCCCTCGGGAGGCAGCTGGGGCAAGGCAGCAGCAGTGGGGAGTGTCAGGCTGGCTGAGAGTCATCCATGTTCTCAACTGGAAGTTGGTCGCCTGCCCCACCCCCTCCTGGAAATTGAACAGAGAGGGGAAAAGAAGTGCAGAGAAGGAAAGGAGAGGAAAGGAAAGCTAGAGTGAAGAAACGAGGTAGCGACAGTGCTAAGGCCGGGATGGCATCAGGAATGAGGGACAACAGTGACAGGTCCCGGCTTATAAGGGGCCTAAGTGCAGGGAAGGGATAGACACAATGCTCTCTAGTGACTGGTGCCTTTTGCAGAAAATTAAAATGGGTGATGGGGTGGGGAGGGGCAAAGCTGGTCAGGGAGCATCCCTTGTGGGATGGGGGGACAGGGAGTCAAGCTCTGAATGACAAGAGGAGCCAGAAGGGTGGGTGGGTGGGTGTGAACACGAGACTGGAGGGAGTGGGGTTGTAGTGGCTGCCTGCCCCCCAAGCCCCGCCTCTGTCCCCTACTACTCTGCCCCTGCCCATTCCTGGCCCAGCAGAGCCCCCTTTCCATGAATGTGGATGGGTGGGGCAAGCCACTGGGGAGCCTGGGGAAGCTCAGCCCTGAGGGGTTTACTTTGCCCGTGGAAGCCAGTGTGAAGGTTGCGGCAGCCTTGCCCGACCCCATTGCCATCTCTCCTCTCTGACGAGGTGGCTGCTCCGGAGGTGGCTGAGCCCCAGGAGAGGGGACCTCCTCTAACTCTCACGCTCAGATTCCATCCCGACACACTCCCCCACCCGACCCTGGGTCCTCCCACCTCTAACACAAAACCAGGGTCCATACTGCTTGCCTCCAGAGGCAGCCTCAGCCCTCACTAAAGGTCAGGCAGTCCTGCCGAGCAGGAGGGAGAGGAAGGGGGTCCTGTAGGGCGGGCAGGATGGTCTGGGCCTGCTCCTCCTTCCTCCTGCCCCTCTGCCACTCCACACTCCAGCACAGGGCTAGGACAGGGGCTTGGAGTTCCTGCAGTGGTGGCCACACTTCCTTCCCTCCTTCCCTCCCTCCCTCCCTCCATCCGGAGCCGCCAGTCCCCAAGTTGGCTGTGGTTGGGCACCTGGTTTGGGTCCTGCAGAGCTGGGCTCAGGCCCTGGGCTCTGAACCTGTGAACCCTTGCTGTGTGACAAACCTTTCCTTCCTCTGAGGGCCTTGAACCCTCTCCTTTTCTTCTTTTGGGGGTGGGGGTTAACTTTATTTTCTCTTCCCTATATCTGCCTCTCTCCCTCCCCTCAATTTCCTGTTTTAAAACTGAATGGCACGAAATTGTTTTCCTCAACTCGGAGATTCCTGTATGGAGAGAATCAATTTCTATATTTGCAATAAATTTCTTATTTAAAGCTACGGGGCCACGGTCTATGCTGTATTCCTCCCACGTTGCACTGCCATGACCCTCGGTGCCCTTTTCCCCATTTCCCTTCCCACTGGAAGCCCCACTCATGGGGCTAAGGCTTAGTGGACGGCGGGGGTAACTGCCTGCGGTCAGGGAAAAAGAAGGGGGTCTGCCAGAGGGGGGGCCAGCGGGAAACTCAAGTCCAGGGTCACTGTGCACCCAGACGCTATAGCGTCTGATGGGTGGGGAGCCTGATGACCTCCCTTCCCAAAAGCCTAGACATCCCTCTGTTGTGTACTCTCACTCAATTTTCTGCTGCCCTGGCCTCCCACACCCCGGGATTCAGAGCCCTGTACAGGGAGGCAGGGCCATGTGGGGACATTCCTAGACTTCAGCTGCTTCCCAGGAGAAAAGCCCCCAGTCAGTGACCACAGTCTCTGAGGTCAGCCTCTTTCTGCCCCTGTCTCTGGTGGGTCCAGTGTCTCTGTAGGACCCCACTGGTCCTCCTCCACGCCTGGCCTGGGCAGCCTGTCTTGGGCCCCTGGCCCACCCCTCCTCTGGTGGCCTCCCACCATCTGCTGCCATTCTCCACGGCTGGGAAGCGATCCTCCATGGCTGGGAAGCGATCCTCCATGGCTGGGAAGCGATCCTCCATGGCTGGGAAGCGATCCTCCATGGCTGGGAAGCGATCCTCTCTGGTCCTTCGGGGTTTCTGCTCCTTCTCAGATTTAGGAGATGCCTTGTGTCTCTGGTCAGGCTGAGGCACTCAGGTCAGCGTCCAGTGACTGCAGGCTGAACCGCCCAAGCCTCTCTGTTCGGGGCCAGCCTGGGGCCTACCTCCCAGCCCCAGCCTCCTTGCTTCCTAGAGGCAGAGCCCGCCTACCCTTTTCTCAGACGACTCTTCTCCAATTGCGACAAAACTCTCCTCCAGGAAGGCCTGGATTCACCCTGGATTGCTATGGGGTATTCTAAACTCTGTGGGTCCGAGCTATTCCCTGATGTCACCCTGTGGCCTTCAGCCCAGCCCTAGGTCTGCAGGAGCTGTGTCCTAGTGGCTCTGGCGGCCCACAAGTCTGTCCTGCGCCCCCCCCCCCCCGCCTATCTCCATTAAGAGTTGGTTGTACTCTGGGTACCCTCTGGGATGGCCCAGAGCCTGAGGCTGCTCACCTTCTACCGCCTGAGCCCCAGCTGGATGCCTGTCCCTTCCAAGTGCCCTCACACAGGCTCAGTGCAGCCGTCCCAAGGGGTCCACAGCCAGCCAGGGTCCCTCCTTTGCTCTGCTTCCTGCCAGCCCCAGGCCGCCTTCGTGAGGGAGGTTTCAGTGTGAGCCTGCACCAAGGGAGGAGGAGGAGGACAGCGGTACACATTTGTGGGAAGCACAGAGGGGTAGGCCCTGGACCCTGACAGGCTCTGTCCCCTCAGGCCCCTCAGCCAGGGCTGCCCTATGGTCCCCAGACCCAACCCTGGGCTCCAGGAACCCCTGCTCAGCTGCCTGCCTGTCGCACTGGGTCCCCGTTCTCTTCATCAGCAGGAGCTGCTTCTGTTGAAGGACTCATTCTACTACTCAGGAAACTTAAGAGGTGATCAAAGTGGTCCACGAACCTCGGGAGTCCAAGTCCAGGCCCTTCCCCTCGGCTGGCTCCGCCGGCCTTGGGCGGGGGGAACCCTGTGGCCCCTGGGAGTGTGGAAGTGTCCTCCGGGATGGCTTTGCTCCAGTGGGTGGAGATCCGGCCAAACAGTTCTTACTCAGGCTTAGAAAGTCGCTTTTATTCCTTAATGTTACAAACGCAAACACCCTTGCCTTTTCATTTCAACTCAGAAGTGATTCTGTTTCTAAACGGAGCACACTTAACACACGTGTTTTGGGGCTTTGGGCTAATTTTGGTCCTGTTTACAAAGGCAATTAGGGAAATGTCCTTAGCTACCCCCCACTTCATAAGTGTGGCATATCTGCTTTCCTTTCTGCACGCTTCAGTCATTTGAAAACCCAGCAAACGCTGTGAGCCCAAACGTTTTCACCCGTGCTTGCATCTTAACATATGAGCCATCACTTAAAAAGAAAACCCCAATTCTGAATTAATGCCTTACTTAACATTATTTATTTGTAAGTGCTCAAGGACATTGGCGAATATCTGAAACACTGCACAGGCTCAGATATCGTGACACAAAATGTAGACGACAAAAAGGTGACGTTATGGCATAAACGTGTAATTTTTTCTGGGGTGAAGGGAAGTTCCTCCATCTGTTGGACGAATGTCTCGAAGTGTGGCTGTACCTTGTGGACAATGTTGGGTTAAAGCTGCTCTGTCGGCTGGGCCCCAGGAACTGGATATTTCAGGTGGGACAAGGGTCTGGGTGCTCTAGACAAGACCATTGTTGCCAGGGGCACCCCACTTTGACACGTTCTGTGTCATGCCTTCTAAGTGGGGTGCTCTTCCCAAGCCTCGCCCAAGGGCTCAACTGCTGGTATATAAGTTCTTCCTCCTTTTTCTTCCTTCTATTTTTCCAAGATATCCGTAACTCAGACTTCACTGACCACCCAGCCCTCTCCAGCCCGGGCAGGCTTCCTTCTCCAGCTTCTTTAATGTTCTTCCCCGTAGCAGGGCTCCAAGGAAGCTAGGTGTCCTCAGCACAGCTCCCTGGGCTCTGCTGGGGCTTGGTTTGAAGGAGTTGACAGTTCCAAGGTGACTCTGGTGACCCTCGTAGCTGCTGGGCCAGGAACTTCCTTTTCTCTTTAGTCGTTTAGCTGAATATTCCCCTCCCTCAAGTTCCCCCTGCCTTAGCAACTACAAATGTTTTCCTTCCAGAGGTGGGCCTAAAAGAAGCCCTTGTGGCTGGCTGCAGGGTTTAGGGGATCACTGCGTCTCACTGGTTCTCAGGGTCTCCTTTAGTCTCTGAAGGCAGGGCCCCAGGCACTCAGCCCCAGGCCCAGCATCTCAGAGGCTGGCCTCCTCCTGCTGCTGTCATCGGTGGGTCCAGGGTCTCTGTGGGACCCACTGGTCCTCCTCTGGGCTCAACCTGGGCAGCCTGTCCTGGACCCCTGTCCCACCCGCTCCTCTGGTGCCCTCCCACCATCTGCTGTTCATTTTGTTCACAGCCAGGAAGCGCTCCTGCTCCTTCTCAGATTTAGGAGATGCCTTGTCTCTCTGGTCAGGCTGAAGCACTCAGGCCAGCATCCAGTGACCTCAGGCCTAACGGCCCAAGCCTCTGTTCGGAGGCAGCCTGGAGCCCACTGCCCAGCCCGAGCCTCCTTGCTTCCCAGAGGCAGAGCCCACCTGCCCTTTTCTCAGAACTCCTGTTCTCCAACTGCTACCAACCCCTCCTCCAGGAAGGCCCCTGGATTTGGCCTGGCTTGTTATCGCTTGCTTTAAATGAACTCCCTCGTTCTGAGCTATTCCCTGTGACTGGTGTCACAGTGTGGCACTCATCCCTGGCCTATGTCTACAGGAGCTGTGTCCTGCTGACTCTCGTGGTCCATGGGGCTTTCCTACTCCCTTTCTGCATCCATGGGAGTTGGCTGAACTGTGGGGACCCTCTGGGATGACCCAGGGCTTGGCCCCTCACCGTTTTCCTGCCTGAGCCCCACCAGGCCCCTGGCCCCTCTGAGTGCCCTCACACAGGCCCAGTGCAGCTGTCCCAGTGGGGCTGTGGCCAGGCCAGTCTGTCTTGCTGTGCACCCCCAGCTCTTTCCTGGCAGCCCTTGTGCTTTTTCCGGAGCCCCTCATCCCTGAGGTTGCCCCGTGGCCCTGTGCCTGGCCTTGAATCCCAGGCGCTCCTTCCCTGCTGCCGCCATCACCCTGGCCTCCCCGAGGCTTCCATCCTGTTGGTGTCGTGAGGTTGGGCTCTGCAAGCCCCTTTTTCCAGGAAAGCCTTTACTGTCTGCTCCTTGGCCAAGGGAGACTTAGGTGATTCCTGCTGGCTCAGGTGTTTTCTTCACATTCTTCCCAGACTGTGGGGCTGGGGCATCCAACTCTGAGTTCTGCCCTTGGTCTCACTTTATCCCAGTTCCCCTGGATTACAGGTCCCATCTGCAGCTTCCTGGTCTCTGCATCTGAGGACTCCCACATGGGGAACTGGTTGGCCCCATGAGCCACCTTCCCAAGGCCCTTTGTCTGCAAGGAAGGAGACCTGATGCCAGGTGTGCATTGGAGGTGACGGTTCTGGCCTCCCGCTGCTCCTTGTTGTCCAGGCTGCACTTGACCTTGCCATGGTGGGAGCTCAGCCATTGCCCCCTCCCTCAGGCATGTGGGGACATGTCAGGCTTTTCTGTTTTCCCCACCACTCCTGCCTGGAGGGTTTTATGACTTGACTCCTAGGGCCCAACCTCCAGTTGAGGCCTGGGCTGCCTCTCCAGCATACGCTGGCAGCCCCTTCTCTTTCCCTAGGCCTAGGGCCCCAGCCTGCTGTCAGCTCTCCCCTCTCCTTAGCACCAAGCCCACCACAACACCCATTCCTACCCAGTCCCCACCCCAAAACCCCCCTCTCTCACGGCCTCCTCTAAAACTGCCCTCACCTGCATCTCAGACAGTGCATCTTCCGTCCTCCCGGTCCTTGTCAAACGAAGCAAGGTCACATGTAAAAGAGTTCCCAGTGGGGTGAAACTCCTCCAGCAACTCTCGAATCCCTTGATTTCGATAGCTCCCAGAATCTGCAATGGTCCAGGGGAGAAAACTCACCCATCTACCCCTCTCTCTTCTCACTTTTCAAACAAATTGTATGGCCCAGTCCCTATATATTAAGCACCATGGCTGTGAGTATATAAACCTCAGTCCGGGGTCTATTGCAGAGAACAGAATTCTCTGTAACTAATTTAAGCAGGAAAAAAATTCACAAGAGGAAACCAAGAGGTGGATGGAATTGTCAGGAGGGCTGCAGACCACACTCGAGGGTGGCCTTTTTGCACTGACTTGTAAAGTAACTGCGCAGGACTGGCCCACCAAGGAAGCTGCCGCCTGTTTCTGCTTAATGGGGCTGCTGAGGGAACGAAACGGTCCCTTGAGGGGCCCTGGGCTGCTGGTGCCGGGATCACAGCAGCTGCATGGGTACCCCCTTGGGTGCTAGCAATGGGCTGTGGACTCTCATCCCAGTGCGGGGACGATGGCGGTTGAAGCATCTCTCTGCCTCACTGCCTCCTTCCAAGGCTCTCAGAAGAGCATCTGATCTGCAGAACCCAAACATCTGTCCTGCAGCTTTAAGAGGATTTGGCAGGGTTGGGCTGATGCCTCACATCCGGGGCGTGGACCAGGGTGTGTTCATTTCTTCAGCAGCTCCGTGAAGTAGGGGCTTCACCCCTGCTCTACACTTTGGGGGAAAGACTCAGAGACAGTAATTGCCCCAAGCAAGCACAGAATACCCAGAAGAGCTGGAAGGAGTTCCAACCCACTTTACTCCCAGACTTTGCCTGTTCCCCCTAGAGATCAGGGCCCAAAGACCTGAGTCCCAGATCGGGCATGGCCAAACATCCCAACTTTAGGCTAGTGGAGTGTCGAGAGACGCCAGCTGTACCATAATCCCGGGGCCTGTGCCGGCCCTGTCAACCCCTGCATCCCCTGTCTTGTTGCTAAAATTCTGGTTCCTGCTGAGATACCTGCTCCAAATCCTTCCTTTAAAGATGAGAAGAGTGAGCCTCAAAAATAAGGGTTGGAAGTGGGGAGAGCCTTCCTGTGGTCATAGGAAGCATGACCAGGGAAGAGGAGGTCATATTTGCCAGTTATTTCTATTATAACCCAGAGATGGGAGGAGGAGGAGGCAGGCGGGACCAGGGTCAAGGGGGTCCCTGCCACAGGGCATGTATGTGAGAGGGGTCTGCTCTGACTCTCCCTTAGCCCCCTGCTCTTCCCCACAGGCTGATGAGCCTGCAGGGCCCACGGGCATTCCCAGACACTTTCCATTTGACCATGCTCCAAGCACCTGGGATGCCAGGATTGACTGTCCAGTGGGGCCCTGGGCATGTTTCCAAGGCCTGTCCTTCCCAGGGTGGACCGTGCCACCCATGTGGGCACTCTTAGGCATGAGAGATGACCAAGGAGTAGCTGTGTGTGGGAGTTATAGGCAGAGCTTGAATGCGTGGGGTCGCGGTCGCTATGCATGCCTGTGAGATCCTTTAAGTTGTGAGATAGTGCTGTGGGCGAGAAGAGGGTGTCCTATGGGCCAGGGAATGGGACTTGACTTTCCATAGGCCACCACATTTAGGGAGGCCAGGAATTTGAAATTCAAACCTGTTAGAGGTCATCGTGAAGGTACATTTGTCAAGGCAGGCGGATATTCTAACAGTTTGTTAGCTGAATGGAGAACTTTTCAGTATTTAGACACACAGGATTTGGGCTTCCCTTTGTACTCATGCCCAGGCCTGGCAAATACTAGGGGGAGGCCTGGGCTCCGGGTTAATGGGGTCTGGGGATAGAAGTCAGATGGTGTGGGATGAACCTACTGCTTGGAGGAAAAGGGTATAAATGGAGGAAAAGGGTATAAATGGAGGAAAAGGAAGAGGAAGTGGTTTTGCTGTTTTGTGTCTGGGCAGGAGCAGGGTGGGCTTGGCAGGCTGCTCATAGAGGAGGGAATGACCCCGTGGGGACTGGGGAGGTGGAAGGGGAGATGGCATCACTTGGGCTCAAGAGTTGGGTGGGGCTGGCAGGAACTTCTCCTGGGAGTGGGAGGAAGGCGGGATGGAACCGGCTACTCATGGAAGGCAGGAGAAGGGGTAGGGAGGAGCGGTGCTCAGAAAGTCACTTTACATTTGGAGTATCTTCCTTTTACCCTTTCCAGCTAAGTAAAAAGCATATTTTTTTCTCTCTTCTGCTGCTCAGCAGCATTGCATGGCCCCATTGCTTTTCCTAGTTTCTTGCTCTGAGGGTCAACTCACAAGTCTTCTTCTAGGTGCCATGTGAGGCACCAGCCCTGGCTGGCGCCTGCGGTGGAACAGCCTGAAGGAGACAGCACCTCTGTCTCTGGGGAGCTGCCGGGATGTGGCTGTCCTTTAGCTATTTATTAGAAAGGTCCTTTGACATGCTTCAGGTGAGGGTTCAATGCGGGAAGTAACCCTAGGAGACAGTGGAGCCTCGAGTGGCTCGGTCTCTGCTGTAAACACCATTCCAGGGGGCACAGTCCACCCATCGCATAGCACTAGAGGGGAACGCTGCGCTTCACTCTGCCCACTGCAGTGAGGCTTCTGGGCCATCTTGGTTCTTCATCTCCATTTTTGTTCTGCCTTGTACGAACCTCTTCTTCGTTCCACTTTGTTGCCTCGTGGCCAGAGCTGCTCTTGCCTCCTGTTTTGCTTCTGTATATTTCAGTTCCTGCAGCTCCCATTTCCGGTCCATGGCCCCTGCTTTCCCAGCTCCTTTCGGTCTAAGGAACTTTCTGACTTTAGGACCTGAGAGTGGAAGTCTCCCCACTGAGTCCCCATTGACAGCTGCTCATCGACTCCCCTCAGTCTGTCCCTGAGCTGTCCCTGTGCCAGCCGGACAGAGGTTGCTAAGTGGGGGTGGAGTGGGGTGTACAGAGATACGTGGTCCACGGCTCTTACCTGGAGGACTTCACTGAGGGACAAGTCACCCACTGTGTGTCCGCACTGTGCTCACACGCAGAGCTTCCAGTGACACCTCACAAGAGAGCCATGAGGTAGGCATGAGGCCATTTGATTTCTGCTGTACTCTTAATGAGGGAAAGGTAGTTATTTTTACCCTCCATGTATGGACCAGGGAACTGAGGCCCAACAAATGCTAGTTAACATAGGCAAGGCCAGGCTGCCCACTCTGCCTGACTCCAGGGGCTCATGTCCCCATCCCAGGCCTGGCTGCCTCTACACCCGTAAATCCATGATGAGACACCCCAGGCCAGGCTATGAACATAGGGCTGAATTGACCACCAGGGTCAAGGGAAGGAGTGTGGTTGAGGTAGGAGATGTAGACTCAACTCTAGACCAGATTGAAGAGTGGCTAAAACAGGAAGAGGCCCTGAAAGCACCTCTCTCCAGAAGTCATGCCCACCACCAGCACCATCAGTTTTACCTTTGTCCATAGCAATATCCGGAAGTTACCACCCCTTTCCATGGCAGTGACCCAGAAGTTGCCCCCCCTTTCCACGGCAGTGACCCGGAAGTCATAGCTCCTTTTCTAGAAATTTCTAAATAACCTGCCCTTTAATTTGCAGGTGATTAAAAGTGGATATAAACATGACTGTGGAACTGCCCCTGAGCTGCTGCTCTCAGCACACTGCCCGTGGGGTAGGCCTGCTCTGCAGGGGCAATCACAGAGCTGTAACACTGTCGTCTCCGTAAAGCTGTTTCTTCCACCACCAGCTCACACTTGAATTCTTTCCTGAGCAAAGCCAAGAAACTTCCTAGGGTAGGCTCCAAGTTTGGGGCTCATCTGCCCTGCCCCATGGTGGTCAGGCACTGGGCCTCGGAGTGCTCCTCCGAACTCCAGAGCTTCAATTTCCACCTCTGTGAAATGGAGTGAGCTACACTTGCTTCACGAAGCTGCATCGAGGCACGGAAGCCTTGAGAGCTGAGAAGCATTCATACCGTGGCCTGGCCCAGGTAGAGGCCGCTGAAGAATGTTGGCTAAATGAAGGAGGCTGCGATAGTGTTGCAGATACAGCAATGGCAGCAGATGTTTTGTTCAAAAGAAATAGGCCCCATAGAGGGCCGAGAGCCAGGAGAACCTCCAAGTGGGGTAAAGGAAGAGGGGAGTGGCAGTGGCCTGGCCAGGGAGGTCAGGGGAAGGTTCCCAAGAAGGACCAGGCCAGTCAGAGCAGAGCCGAGCCCCTTGTGCTGAGGGTCAGTGACAGCGACCTCACACCATCTGAGCCTTTCTGAGATCCAAACTCGGGAATTACTTCAACTCTTTCCTCTCCTTCCCTTCCTCTTTCCTTGGATTAGATCATGGAGTCTTACAAGTTATATTTTCAATTCTCTGCAGGGTGGCCTTAATCCAGGTCTCCATCTCTCACTTGGATTCCTGCCACAGCTGGAGACAGTCCCGGGGGTACTAAAGTGTCGACTCACTGATTCCCTACTTAGTGCACTCCCCCAAGTCTCAGTGCTTCCAATACCAACATATGGATATATGTTGGTGACTTTCAGCCCCATGTCCATCTCAGTTAGCCCAGCAGCCCCCAATCCTTCTGTTTCCTATGTAAGTGGCAGTCCCCTGCCACTCAAGCCAACATGATGGGTCGTTTTTTGGAGCTAGTCTCCACCTTCCCCTCATCTCATACTGACCTGACCTTGAAAACTCATCTGAATCTGGCTGCTCCTCTCCATGTACCTATCCCCTCTGGGGTGCAAGCCACACCACCCTTCAGTTGCGGGATGATAGCAGCCAGTGGGCCCACATCTGGCTGTGCCCCTCATCTATTAAATCATCTCACAGGCTCTTCCAGTCATGCTGAGAAGGTCCATCACCCACTCATGCCTCTGGATCTTGGCACCCGCCAGAAATGGTAGTCCCACTCCCCCTGCCAGTGATTGGCTTAGGAATGGCCACGGAACCCAGTTCCAACCAGGAAGAGAAAATGGGCAAGGGAAGGAAGGGATATCATAATCCTCCTCTAGAAATGGTTGTATCTAATCGGGATGCAGATGCCTGAAACTCTGCAGTGTAGGAAACACTAGGGCCCGCTCTGTGAAATATTCACATGTCCAAGTGGAAAGAGAACAGACCCTGTGGACTGAGGCTCGCCCCGGGGGACCTGGGCCTGCGTGCCTCTGCCTTTTCATGTGAACTGATGTCTCTTGCTTGAACTCACTTGAGTAAAGGTTTCGTGCCACTTGTAGCATGTGCAGATGTAACCATCAACACAGAACTCCTACTTCCTGGAGACTGTGGGGGATTTGAACTTACCATAGGTTCACGGAGTGACAAAGCTGTTTCTAGGGCCGATGCAGCCGTGGGCCATGTGAATAGAATCACGGGGTCTGGGCTGGGGGAGGTGAAGGTTCTGGGCTCTACCGTACTGGCCAGACTCCACCTGGAGAGGCTACGGTCAGTCCAGGGTGACTACGCCAGCAGGGAGGTTGACCTGCCAGGTCCATCTGCTGAGAATGATAGCATTTAGAAGGGCTGGGAAACCCTGCCACGCAAGGAATGCGTGAGAAAGTGGGGCTTTTTCTCCTGGCAAAGAGAAGGCTGGTGGTGGGACTTCATTTCGGCTTCAGACGCAGGCAGGGTGATGTGTGGAGGGAGTGGCCACGCTCATGCTGCTGACCAAGAGGAAGTCAATGACAGTATAGAGTTTGTCAACAATTGAGGACAAATTCAAACTTCAGTAGGTATCATTCTCACCCAGGGAAGTTGGTAAAAACACAAAGGCCCAGGCCCTGTCTTTCAACGAGCCTGGGCCCCAAGTTGTTAGCACTCTAGGGGGTTTTGGGGCACGCCAACATTTTTGCAACCTCTGACTCAAGGGAAGGAAGCCGACATTTGTGAGGCATTTAATGTGAGCCAGGTGCTGAGCTGGGCCCATCACTGTGGCTCCCATTTGATTTTGACACAAATTCTTAGAGCCAAGCACTGCTACAGATGGTTTTGGGAAGTGTAGTGAGTTTCCCATGAGAAGTGTGGCTAAAAATCAGTAAGAAAAGGATGATTAGTGTGAGAGGAAAAGGAGAGTAGGAAAAGAATTCTTAAATGAAGAACTATAAATGGCCAAGAAACCTATGCAAAGATACTCCTCTGTTGTGGCAGAGATCACAAGCTGTTCTCCAGTATCCACCTTCCCTTCTTCCATAGGAGCAAAACCCTTGATTTTCGGTCAGGCATGTGGTCTATTACTAAGACACTCCCATCTAGCATGAGGCTCCGTGCTCAAGTTCTGGCCAATGAGAAGTAGCAGATTCCAGGAATCGTCCTAAAAAGGCAGCTGACAGGTGTCCCTTATTTCCTTTTTCTTTATCTTTTTCTTGTGGCTGGAATACGAGACATGATGGTTGGGGCTCCAGCAGCCTTATAGGGCGGTGAGGAGACCTTGGGGACAGAGATCACACACAGCAAAGTAACAAGAGGAGGGGTCTGGGTGGCCAAAACCATGGAGTGCAGCTGACATGCCAGCTCTAGACTGCCGTCCTCCTGATTTTACTTAAGCAATAAATGTCTGGCTTGAGTCTCTGTTATTTGTTCCCGTGCCTATTCCTAGCTGATAACAACAGAGAAATACAAAACAAGACATGAATTTGCCAAACTCCTGATCACTTTTCACTCATGAGATTGGCACAAACCTAAAAAGACGATGATATTGTTAGAGACAGTGCAGTGCTGTGGTTAGTATCCCTCCTGCTCTGGACTTACCAGCTGTAGAAACTTGGACAAAGTGTGTAACCCTCTGTGCCTCAGTTTCCTCACCTAAAAAATGAGTGTCGAACCCAGTACTACCCCACAGAGTCATTGTGAGGAATCGGCGTTTAGAATAGAGCCCCGTACAAAGCACACATAAGTGTCTACCGTGACTATTACTATTTAGCTGGCATACCTGAGGTTGGTGTGCATGTGTAGAGGAAAGACGCTCACGCCTGGCCAGGAGTGTGAAACGTAGACAGCCAGAAGGCTCTTGCTGTTTCAAAACTTTCAAACTACATACAAGACTCCCCCCAGGGTGCTCCCTCTAACCCAGAAATTCCACCTCTAGAACCCTGAATCCCTTGGGGCCAAACGTGTTTCAGATTTTTGGAAGCTAACTTGGTGCATGTGCCCCATCCTGTGTTACTCTTCCACGGGGTCTGGGCGTGCCCCATGCTGTAGACCCTCTGGGGTGTTCAGCCCACCTCAAGTGCATCTGGGGAATTCTGGGGAGTGAATGCCCTTGGGGTAGCCCTCAGCTGGTAAAGCCCAGGGGCAGGTGGGTAAGGCCCAGCAGCCTCTAGTCCTTCAGAGAAGCACCCCACATTGCTCAGGAGGTCCTAGAGAAGTCGACTGCCCCCTCCTGCAGTGCCCTCTGCAGTGACCTCCCTAACCACCCTTGTGTTATCTTCTCCCGACCCGCATCTCACTCTCCATGGTTGCTCCCTCCTGGATTCTGGTGTCACCTTCCAAAAAACCGCCTGCACTCAAGTCCCGTCTCAGGCTTTGCTTTTGGGGACCTTCACCCAAGACAACCCCCTGACCAAACACATTATTTCTTCAGCAAGCTGCACACATAGCACAGAAAGTGGGATAAACAGACGCTGAACACTCTCACATCAATCTGGGTCAGGTTTGCTGGCAAATAGGTAAAAGAAAAGGAGTATGGTTCCGGTTCTGGGAGTGTTTGGGTTTCGTGGCTGTGGAGATGGGACCGGACTGCATTCTGCAGAGCACAAAGGCACCCTCTCTTGCTGAGTTCACTTGGTGTGAGTGGAGAGGCTCCCCCGGCCACGGACTGCACTCAGAAGGGCCCGAGACCACAGCAGTCACCAGGAATTGGGCCCTCCAGGAGCTGACACTTGAGGGTAGAAGATGTCTGATGGGGCTTCTGGCCAAACTTGGGAAGGAGAGCTCTTGGGTGGGGAGACAAGGCCACAATCAATGGGTGCTCAGGGATGGCCCCGCTGCAGAGGTGAGGTCTGAGAAGGGACTTGACAATGAGAGGAAGCCTAGGACGCATGATCCGAGGCAAAGAGAACAGCAGATGCAAAGGCTGCCAGGTAGGGCAGGGGTTTGAAGAGGAGGAGCAAGGAAGCCAGAGAGGAAGGCGGAAGAACTGGCTGGTGGGAGGATGGGCACAGGTCACACGGGGCCTGAAGAGCTACGTTTCTAGCTTAGAAGAACAGCTGGTATACAGAGGGACTTCCAGCCCGCGGGCACCGCCATCTGATTTGAACCTCTGGTTTTGTTGTGGGCATAGATGGTGCATTTTCGCAACAAGGCAAATGCGGAACCGGCACATGGCGTTTGCTGCCCGCCTGGCTCCCACACTGCGTTTGTCCTAATGATACCCGTGGCTCACCACACCCTACAGGGGCCTCGGAAGGAGAGCCAGCGCCACCTCCACCTCCACCTCGCCACCACGGCAGGGGCTCCTGATGGGTCTCAGGGTGAGCACCACCCTCTGCCAGTGACAGGTCAGGTGTGGGCAGTGACCAGTCTCAGCCAATGAGACATCAGGGAGAGCCCGCAGGTGGCCTCGGACCCCGCCAGCCTGGATGCCGAGGCCGACCTATGAGTCTGACTCGAATTGGGGAAGAGCAGAACACACAAGGGGCCGATGCTCACCCTGCTCCCTGCCAGGCCGCACTGTGGATGGGCCTGTGGCCCGCGTGAGGCTGGGCAGGGATTTCCGTCACTTGTAGCAGAAAGCCTCCCATTGGCTAGTGAGCACCGTGTCCGTCCCAAGGGACAGACTGACAGGCTGTGGCTTGTCCCCGTCATGGAACACAGCAGCGCGCTGAAAAGAATGAGGGGGTATCCTCCCGTCCTGAAAAGGAACCAGCGACGAGAGATGTCGTCTCTTCTCAACCAGGGGTCATTTTGCTCCCTAGGTAGGTTGCCAGGTTGAGGAAATAAAAATGCAGGGCAGCCGGTTCAAGCTGAATTTCAGACAGTGCATATTAACTAGATGTCTTGTATTTACTCTGGCAACCTTACCCCCAGGGGACATTTGGCAATGGCTGGAGGCATTTTTGGTTGTCACTGGGGACGGTTAGGTGCCACCAGCATCTGGTGGGAAGGCACCAGAGATGCTGTCATACATTCCACAATGCGTAGGACAGCTTACGAAAAAAAAAATATCTAGCCTAAAATGTTAGCTGTGACAAGGGTGAGAACTCCTGTATTAAATGAAAGATGGCAACAATTCCATAAGATATGGTAGGATCCCATTTGTACGTCCTGTATTTATTCTGGCAACCCTACCCCCAGGGGACATTTGGCAATGTCTGGGGTTGTCACTGGGGATGGGTTTGTGTGTGTATGTGTGTTTCTTTTTTTCTTTTTCCATACCCAACTAAGTCGTACAATTGCATAGAAAAAGGTATGGAAGGTCACATACCTAAGTCATGTAGGGTAGCGAGTGGTCATTCCTTTTACTCTAAATACCTTCTGCAGTATATTATTATTTGTGAAGTTAATGATAATTGAAGTGAATATACATGTGTATACACACATACAGAAAGCATGCCAATCAAAACAATAGATATTTCACAAAGTAAACACAACCATGGCACGGCCTCCTGATGAAGATGAAGAACATGGCCAGTGCTCCATGAGGCCCTTCGCAGCCCTGCCAGCCTCTCCCTCGAGGGCTGCGAGGGGAACTGCTGTCCTGACTTCCAACCTGCTTTGGGCCCCACATGAACCGAATCCTGCCCGACGTCCTTGTTTGAGACTGGCGTCTTTCCCTCAGCAACGTGTCATGATTCATTCATGTGGATCGGAGCAGCGGTTGGATCATTTTCATTGCTGTGAAATACACCACAATGGGTTTATGCATTCAACCGTTGATGGACATTTGGGTTGTTTCCCGTTTGGCAAGACGATGAAGAAAGCTGGTATGAGCATTCTTTCACACGTCTTTTCTTGGGCATATGTACTCGCTCCTGTTGAGTGTAAACCTAGGAATGAATCGCTCAGTCATAGGGCAAATGTGTGTTCCTCTTTCCCAGACACCATTCGAGTTTCCAAAGTGCTTGCAGAGGTTTACACTGCCATCCACCAGAGATGAAAGTTCCACTTGGGCTGCTGCCTCCTGGCCAAGCCTGGCTAGGTTGTAGCTTTTGCGTTTTACTCCCTCTGGTGGGTGTGTAAATTGCTAATCACTGTGATTTTAATTTGCATTTCCCTGATGATGAAGCTGAGCACTTTTTCGTATCTTTATGGGCCATTTGATCGTCCTCTTTTGTGAAATGCCTATTCGGGCCATTGGTCCATTTTTCTATGAGGTTATCTCCGTTTCTCTCATTGATTTGTAATTAAGAGTCCTGTTGCAAATATCTTTCCCCACCGTGCAGTTTCTTGCCTTTTCCTTCGCTTACAACGCTCCACGCTGTCCTGGACCCTAGCATCACCCAGGCCTAGGTAATAGAAGGGTGGCCTTTGTAAAGTGACTCAAGGCTGAAAAGGGAACAGACACTCTTACCATAATAAGCTACAGCCTGAAAAACAGCCGGAGGTGAATCTTTGCCGTGCGAATGGTCTGGCTGTCTTTTATAAAAGTAACTCGATTGGACAAGACCCCATGAGGGCCTCTGCTCCTCCCCACTCCCCTTTCCCCGAGGACCTAATTCCCCACTGGGTCAGTCGCGGAACCAGATAGAGCTGGGGACTCACGACGCATGCTGAAGACTGGATACAAGAGGAGGAAGGACTTTGGTGGAGAGAAGGAATCAAAAGGAACTAAGGTATGCAGCTCGGGGGGCAGCGGAGGTGAGAACTTGGGAGGGGGTTCCAGGAAAGGGCTTACTGCTCTCATGGGCAGGACACATTGAGAAGATCCCATCCTGTGGTCTCTGTATAGGCCAGAGCCACTTCTCTGCCTTTCTATGATGCCACTTTGCCCCTTGCCTGAATCACTGCAGCATCCTCTTTACTGGCCTGCCTGCTTCAGCCCTGGCCGTCTTTCACCCCCATCTGTGCCCAGCAGCCAGAAGTAGCAAGATCGTTAAAAACGAACATCAGAGTGCATTTCTCCTACAAAGCCTCCAGTGGCTACTTCTTGCCCTCAGAATGCATCACAAACTCCTTCCAGGAGTGGCCATTCAGGCAGGATGTGATCTGGGTGGGAGAGCCTCCCCCGCCACTTTCCTGCCCCAGCCACACTGGCCACATGTTGCTCAAACAGCCACATGTGTTCCAGCCTCAGGGCCTTTGCACTTAGCGCCGCCTCCATCTAGAATGCTATATATACCCCAACTTTGCCATGCCAGCTTCTTATCATTTTGGGCACATCTCAGGGTCACCTCCCCCACGGCGTCTTCCCTGAGCCCTCCGATCTGGCCCTACCCTGGGTCAGCATCCCCTCACTCTGTTTTCTTTCCTTCATGCCACCGGCCACTCTGAAATGAGCTATTCTTCTATTTTGTTTGCAGAATGTGAGACAAGAGGACTTGCTGGCAGGGTCCGCTGCTGTGTCCCCAGAATCCCAGCATGTGCCTGACACACAGCAGGTGCCTGATTGATAGTGACGGTTCCCCAAAGGCTGCTGGAGTCACCTCTGGGAGTCTGCGCGGGCTCCACCCTCTGGGGAGGTGTGCTTGGTAGAGGACAAAAAGGCTACTTGTTGGGGTTACCTTAGTACGTGCGTGAAGAGTAAAAAGTAATAATAATCAAAGAAACCGATTGAGTTGAGTAAACCATTGGCATCCTTGACCCTTGCGGACTTACGGCACCCACAGGGTAGGGCATGGGGTCCGGGAGTGAGGCATGTGTACCTTCCACTTCCAGAGGGGCACCCTCTTGGGCTGCCTGGGATGAGACCAGGTGGCGCTGGTGGCCATGACGTAGGTTACCTGAATGCCCACCGGCCCTGGGTGGCTCCCAGCTCTGAGTCGGGCAGCCCAGTCTACTCGGGGGCCAGGCAGGCACAAAGATGAGTGAGGCAACTCCCGCAACAGAACAGGAAGGAGAGAATCTGCTAGAAACTGGAATCCTAATGCCCTGGCCCAGAGCCATTCCCAGTGAAAATAAAAATAAGATTTGAAATGGGCTGCCACCAGAGCAGGTTAGGAGTGACCCCACAGCGGCCCTCTGCGTTGGCTGAAAAGCTGATGCGTCTGGGGGTCACACAGCCTGAGCGGGGAGGGCTCCGAGGTGGAGCCTCGCTTCACAGACATGTAAACTGAGGCCTCGAAAGGAGGCCTGGCCAGCATGCAGGTGTGGACTCCCAGCCCAGTGCTCTTTCCTCCAAGCCTTGAACTCGGGGATGGTCAGAGGTTGAGAGGGTAGGGGAGCATGGGGAAGGGGCAGAGTGAGAGGAGCCTTTGGGGCAGTGAGAGGAGGCTGCAGGCCTGGCAGGATGAGAGCAGTGGGAGGGTGCCCCCACTGGGAGAGTCAATGCCAGCACCCGGCACCTGTCACTCGAGGAGAGGTGAGGGAGGGGGAGGAGGGCAGGGCTAGGGCATTAGGATTCCAGACAGCTCTCGACACCCAATTTTCCAGCTGGGTGCCCTAGCCTGCTCTCTGAGCCTCCTGCCAGAGCCAGTCTAATTGACGGGGAGAGAGGAAGCTGCTGGGGGTGGGGGCAGGAGAGGAGAGGAGCAAGGGACTAGAGAACAGGAAGAAGACAGAGAGGGAGGAGGGAGAGAAGAGAGAAGAGGGAGAGGAAGAGATGGGAGAAGGACCCAGAGGAGAGAGGGGAGGAGAAGGAGAGGAGGGAGGAGGGCGGAGAGGCAGGCAGGTGGCCACTCGGCCCAGGGGACTGCAAGGGAGGAGGGTTGACTGTCTGATGGCAGCTGGAAGGGAATCAAGAAATGGCACCCCTCATTTAAAAGAGGAGGAACAGGGCCCAGAGGGGAGAAGTCATGTACCCGGGGTCCCGTGGCCCACTGAGCCAAGGGCAGGATTAGAGGGCAGAGCCTGGTTTCCTGACTTCCAGCCAGGGGAGGGAGATGAAATGGGGCAGGGGGTAGGGGTGGGGGAGTTCTGAGAGGGGAGGGCCCCTCCGAGGCTGCTGGAGGTGGGGTGAAAGGAGACTGCCTGGAGGCCTCGGGTTGTGGGGAAGCACCACCTTGCCTGTCCCGCCTCCCCGCGCCCCCTCTCGGTGGCTACCCACAGCCAACATGGAGCAGGGATGCCTGGCACTCCTGACACACTCTGCCAGAGCTGCCGCCCCCCACCCTGGGGAGCAGATGGGAGTAATCAGCGCTAATGACAGGACTGGGGGCTCTGGGGTCACACACACTCTCAGCCCCCAGGGGCCCAGGCCCGGGGAGGGGGAAGGGGCTGGCGGGTGGGTCTAGGGGCCTGCGGTGGGGAGGCAGGGAGGAAGAGGGGATAGGTCCTGGGGCTGTCTCTAAAGCCTCCTCAGCAACGTGGTGTCAGAAGTGGGCCTGAGTGAGTGGGTCCCTCCCCTCACCCCCTGGGTGGTCAAAGCTCACTGAGGTCACCGAGTCCCCTGCAGCCGCCTGACAGTGTCTGCTCAGTCAGCTGCACACTGTGTGCCAGAGGGACCTTCTCAGGCTGCAAACTCAAGTGGCAGCAATTGAGTTTGCCTCCAGGAGCAAAACTGAATCATTTCCTTGGCTCCCACCCTGTTCCTGCCGTTTACACTGCTACCTGGCCCCTTCTAGACAAACTCTAGACAAACTCGGCCCACATGGGGGTTTCACTGTTGAATCGGGTTCTCCTTGGATCCGCTCACTCCTGGGCATCGTGATGCCAGCTGTGGGGCTCCCTTCTCCGACAAGGGTGTCTCTGGGTGCTGTGTCCTTTGAGCCAGCAGCCCTCTCTGTCCCACAGCCCAGGCAGCCTCACACCCTGTTCCCACTGCCTGCCAGGACCAGGTGCCGCTGCGAGCACTCACCACTCCCCACTGCCTTGGCTCCCCGATCTCATAGGGGGCATCTCTCGGGAACAGGAGCCTCGCGCCCACTTACCTCTTGACTGTCCTCGGGGAATGCTGGCTTTTAGGCCTTCTGTGCCTGGGGATTGGCTGGAATCTCCTTCCAATGTTGCTCTCTCTGACACAAGTTTCAAATTTTTATTTCAAATTTCAAAATCTGAGCCTTAACTTCCGTGGGCACAACCCTACCTTGAAAGCAGAAGCTGGAATGTCCGGGGCTGGAGGTGTAAGATGGTGGTGGTGAGGGTGGGGTGTAAACCACGGCGTGGGCTGACGAGTGTGCCCTGCAAGGCCCCACCTGCACCCCCCACCCACCCAGTGCCTTCTCTGCAGGGCAGGGCAGGAGGAAGGGGCTGGCAGATCTGATGTCCCTGGGGGAGGAGGGGATGCAAAGGGGGTCCCTGTGCTGGGGCTTAGCCTGTGCCAGGCTGGGGGTCAGATTGTGTGGCTGTAGGAAGCAGCAGACGCTGGAGGTGGGTGTGGGCAGGGCCCCTGGGGGGCCTCTCAGGAACCTCCAAACATCCTTGAGAAGTAGGCCGGGCTGCCCCAAACTGGGGCAGGTGCAGGGAATCTGGGCCGGGGGCACCGTGGGTCCCCAGGGCTGGGCCTTGTGCACTGGTGCCTCTCTACCACCTGCCCCTGTGGGGAGAGTCCAGGGCAGGGCCACCGGGCCACCTCCATCCCATCGGCCTCTGGCTCTCATGAGCACACGGTCCTTTGCCACCTCTGGACTGCACGACAGATAAGTGGTGGGGCTGGGATCCGCACTCAGGCCTCCTGGTGCCCGGGTTTGGCCTCTTTTCGGGTGTATCACATTGCCGTGGGGAGCGGGGACCCAGGACTGCCCATCAGAGTCAACCAGCCCAGCCCAGGCTAGTGCCTGGCATGCAGGACAGATGCTCTGTAGAGATCGTGGACTGCCCTGCTGACATGTAAAGCACCCAGCATGCAGTAAACGCTCAGCAAATGGGAAACCAGCTTGTGGGTAAGTATGTAAGACGGGTAGACGCAGACCTCCCCAGCCCCTCGGGCTCACTTCCTACCTCATCTCCTCCAGGAAGCCTCCTATGATGCCACCTCCACCAAGCAAGCAATCTTATTTATGATCTTCTCCTGACCCCTCATGCTCTGCTGTCCCGCTGGCAGGGTCCGATTGACCTCCACATCCTCTCCCACCTTCCCGCTCCCCAGGTCCCCTCGAGTGTCACATTCCTCAGATAGGACACAGATTGGTGGGCTCCGGGAGCTGAGGACAGAGAGAGGGAAGGGAAGCCCCTGAGTATCCTCCCTGGGACAGCCCCTTCTTCAGGAGAGAGACACCCAGACCATGGGGAAGGGTTTGGACACAGGAGCCGTGCTCCAAGGTCTGGTCTGGCCCGGGGTCAGGCCTCACCTTCTGGACCTTGCTTTCCCCTGCACCGCCAGGGGACTGCCCAGCTTGGAGACACTCCAGGAAGGCTGCCCCTCTGTCATCTGGGGTCCTGTGCCCGCCTCAGCCCCGTTTCTCGTCCTTTCACATCTCAGGAAGCCCTCAGTCCTTCCCTGCCCCCTAACACAGGGCACTTTCTTTCTCAACCCCGCAGCCACACCTGTCTCCACAGAGCCTGGAAGACCCTTGCTAAGACTTCTGTGAGAAGGAGGCCTTGTTCTTGCTGTCTGCACAGTGCCCTCACCTGGCACCCCCAGCCCCAAGGGGTGTTCTCCCCCAAGAAGATGGGCCCTGCTCTCCTCCCTTCCCAGCATGAAGGCCAAATGCCTCATACATGTGCGCACGTGTCTGTGAACTTCCAGCCTCAACATGGCCCACACCGGCCTCTGCCAATAGACTTGGAATGAGGAGGGCATCCCAGCTGGGCTCCTGAGGTTGAGGACAGCCAGAAGAGAAGGCTTGGAGCCCCAAGGCAGAGACCCAAGACCTAAGGTGGGAGAATCCCCGGGGGTAGAGTTCAGCTCAGCAGAACGAGGGACTCCAGTCTTCACAAGAGACCAGAGATGGGCAGGTGGGAGGGAGCTCCCCAGCCCTGGAGGTATGCAAGTGCAGGCTGAAGAGCTGTAGGCAAGGATACTGTAAAGGGGTTCAAATATCAGAGGGGTTGAACTAGATAGAATTTAGGGCCTGCTCTGTCCTCCAATCCAAGGAATTTGGGGGTTCCCTGCCTTAGTATGTCAGACATTATGACTTTCCCAGGGGCCCATCTTCATAGTGAACGCTTGAAAATCTTCCAGATACAGAAGAATGAACTGATAATGACAGACTGCAGCCAGTGATGTGTGTGTGTGTGTGTGTGTGTGTGTGTGTGTGTTCTGCCACCCAGCACCTGTACAATCTTGTGTGAGTCCCTCAACCTCTTAGGTAAGCGTGTTTATCTATGACATGAAGGGGTGCGGCTGCAGGCCCCAGGCACAGTCCCAGCAGCTGCCCATCCTGTCAGGGGCTGCTGAGGCAGAAGTGACATGGAATGCAGAGGTGCTTCCACGGCCAGAGGTGTGGGTGGTTCTGCCCATGGTTTTGGATGTGATTATTGTCCAGCCAGGTAATCGGGAGCTCGTGAAGCTTCTTGAGTGAGGCAGTGATGTCTGATTATAAATACCTGCTTCAGATTTGGAAAGAACCTTTGGAAAGCAGTGGAAGTCAAGCTTTTCAGGAAATAATGAAGATGGGAGGCCGGGCACGGTGGCTCACACCTGTAATCCCAGCACATTGGGAGGCCGAGGCGGGCGGATCACCTGAGGTCAGGAGTTCGAGACCAGCCTGGCCAACATGTTGAAACCCCGTCTCTACGAAAAATATAAAATTAGCCGGGTGTAATGGCGCACACCTGAAATCCCAGCTACTCGGGAGGCTGAGGCAGGAGAATCACTTGAGCTCCGGAGGCAGAAGTTGCAGTGAACTGAGATTGTGCCATTGTACTCCAGCCTGGGCAACAAGAGGGAAACTCCATCTCAAAAAATAATAATAATGATAATGAAGATGGAGTCATTCCAAGAGCAAGATGCATTAGGGCGTGGGACAGAGACAGAGAGCTGGGGGTGGAGAGAATCCAGCCATACCCTGTTCCTGCACTGCTGAGGGGACTGGGGACTAGAGGCATCCACGGTGTTTCACTGAGGGCTCTGTGTGTGTGTATGTCTTGGTGTGTACAGTCCGTATGCATGTGTGTGTTTCACAACATGTGTGTGCTGCATGTGGTGTGCACATGTGTGTGTCATACAGGAGCCGTGCCTCTCTGTGTGCACCTGTTTTCTGCTGTCACAGCAAGAGAATGAACACAGGCCCCTAGCTTCCAACCAAGGGCAGAGGAATTCTTTATTTCCATGGCTTTGCCCGGTGATTAAGTCTCCAAACTTTTCCTCCACCATCATTTCTTCAAAATGAAAAACCAAATTATATCTCCAAACAGCTTGGAAATCGATTTCTTTCAGAATGAACTTTTGGAGAAGAGGTTTCAAGAAGAAATAAGAGGAGGAAGGCAGGAGGGGTGTGTGGGGTGGGGACAGAACAGCTGCCAGGGCCACCCAGGGCCTGGGTTGGGAGGGAAGGAGGGGCAGGGTAGGAGGTGCTGGAGGCCGGAGGGCACTCTGGACTCTGAGTGGGTGGGGAACCTGCTTCAGCCTCACCCCACCCGCTCCTTGGCCACGGCCCTCAATGCCAGCCTTTCCTGGGGTCTGGTCTGGGAGGTCTGGGGAAGTGCCCAGCGTGTGCACAGGCAGAGCTCCTCCAGGCCAGAACAATAATAGACTCTCAACTATAAACCCAGGCGTGATGTGGCCGCCAAGTTTTGAGCCAGGCACTGGGCCAAGTGCTTTTCCCGAATTATCTCCCTTAATTCTCACATCAACCTCGGGCCGGTGTTATCATCCCGTTCTAATGACAAAGAAACCAAGAATCTGTGGCCCAGAGAGGTTAGTGAGTGTTTTTGAGAGCATAATGGAGAGGGTTCCAGGCGAGGGTGGATGGGAAGTGCTCAGTACTGCTTCTGGGGGCGGTTTGGGGTCAGCAGATGTCAGGGCCAATGGGGAAAGAGGGTGATAGCAGAAATAAACAATGGGACAAAGAAAACACCCCCTGCTGAGGGTAAAAGCAAGGAGGCCATGGCCTATAATCCCAGCACTTTGGGAGGCCGAGGTGGGTGGATCACGAGGTCAGGAGATCGAGACTATCCTGGCCAACATGGTGAAACCCCGTCTCTACTAAAAATACAAAAATTAGCCGGGCATGGCGGCATGCACCTGTAGTCCCAGCTACTCGGGAGGCTGAGGCAGGAGAATTGCTTGAACTGGGAGGCAGAGGCTGCAGTCAGCTGAGATTGCGTCACTGCACTCCAGCCTGGGCGACAGAGCGAGACTTCATCTCAAAAAATAAATAAATAAATAAATAAATAAATAACAAAAATAAAAAACAAGGAGGACATGGCCCTTTGCAGGGGAGCAGGTGTGCCTCAGGGCTGTGGAGCACCTACTGTATACCAGGGCATTTGACTTCCTGGCAGGGAATGTTATTAATGCATGTTATGCATAAGGAACTAAGTCTCACAGAAGTGAAGCGACTTGCTGAGGTCACACAGATAGGGAGAGAACCCAGATCATCCTGGGTCCAAAGCCGGCACATCACTTCTCAGAGTCACCAAAGCCGGCACATCACTTCCCAGCGTCACCTTGCAGAGCATCTGGGAAGGCTTCCTGGAGGAGGTGGCTTCTGAAGATGATGGGGAGGGAGGGGCAGAGAGGAAACTGCACAATGACATCCAAAGAGGAGAAAAGACTGGGGATGGCGAGGAGGAGGCCAGTGTGGCAGGATGCAAGGTGCACACAGATTGGTGGGACCAGAGGGGAGCACAGGCAGGTAGTGGGCCAAGTGGATCTCTGTGATGGAGGCAGCGCCAGGTGAAGGGGGACCCAGAGGAGAGAGGCCTACTCTGCAGGGACTCTCAGGAGTGTGGCCCCACAGGGACAGTTACCTCGGCTGGCTCCTGGTGGGAGAGTGGTGCTGACAGCAGGGAAGAGAGTGGGGAGGACCCCCTGGCAGAGCCGGGGGGAATGTGTGCTCTGGGCATGGAGGCGGCATGGGATCATGATGCCCATTGGGGGAACTCACCCCTCAGTGCCCCCTGCACACCTGAGGAGCAGGGTGAGGGCAGACGTGGACGGGGACGGGGTGCCTGTGGCAGAGGGGACGCTCATGGTGGTGCCAGGACAGGAGAAGCAGTTTGCAGAGGTCAGCCTTTGAGGACTGTGGATGTCAGCCATGCTGGGGATCGGGCTTCCCCTGAGGTCCACGTGCATGTAGCTTTTGTGGAAGGGGGGTAGTGATAGTGTGGCCACAGTGGGTCACAGCGTCCCTCTCCTCCTGCCACATCAGAGGCACCAGGATGAGGGCCGGGAGGAATGTGTTCCCAAGAATCGAGGCTGGCACTGGGCCAGGACCAGGAAGGCTGCCTGTGTGGGGACAGCAGGGGGCGCCCTGGACGCCCTGAGCCTGTGTCTTGCTGTCCCTCCTGTCCACTCCCAGTGCCCTGTCCACCTGGTGCTGAGAGCCGGCGACGCTAGGGGTTTGGGATGGTGTCAGGGCTCCTGGGTGATGGTGTATGTGTGCGTGTAGATTTGTGTGTGAGTGTAGGAGGTATCTGTGGGAGCAGTGTGTGTAGGACTTGTGTGAGTGTGGTAACTGGGCTGTGGGGGGGGGTGGTGGCTGCCACCACTGTGTTGTAGGTGGGTGTGGGCAGGGTGGTGTGGGCAGGGGCATGGGCAGGCGGGTGTGGGCAGGGGGCATGGGCGGGGGCGTGGGCAGGTGGCATGGGCAGGCAGGCATGGGCAGGTGGGTGTGGGCAGGCCAGCATGGGCAGGGGGGCGTGGGCAGGGGGGACGTAGTCAGGGAGGCATGGGCAGGTGGGCGTGGGCAGGCGAGCTCGGGCAGGGGGACATGCCTCCACCCACTGCCCTGTCCCACTCCCTCTCTGACAGAGGCCTGGCTTAAGGGATCCAAGGGAGGTGTGAGGGGCGTAAGGAGCAATAGTGTTGGAGGAAACTGGGGAAGATGAGGGCCAGGAGGCTTGGGAGAGCTGGAGAGGGTGTGGGGAGGATTAGAAAGGGTTTGGGAGCTGGAGGGGCTGGATAGGACTGGGGGGACTGAAGTGGGTGCAAACTGGAGATGAGTGGGGGAGGCTGGGGTCCGGGAGGGTGGGTCTGGGAGCCGAGGGGTGGGTGCCAGCCAGGCACGCTCTCTGCGCTCCCTCCTGCTGGTGGCTGGCAGCCTGGTGGGTGTTGATCATCCTCACGGCTGAGCAGCGGGAGCACTGGGGAGGGAGCAAGACAAGCTCGGCTCACAGCAATGAGGGAAGCTGGCCAAGGTGGAGGCGGAGGAGGCGTGAAACCAACAGTGGAGCCCAGGGCGGGGGCTGAGAGAGAGACAGAAACCTCAGACGGGAGGCAGCCTGGAGCGGGAGAGGCAGGCATCAGCCAGCAGATGGGAACCCTCACAGCAGATCAAGAAATGGGCGGGTGTGGTGCCCATCTCCAGGTGGGGAAACTGAGGCTCAGGGAGGGCAGGTTGTCCCAAAGCCACCCATTCGGAGCCCAGGGGCATAAGGGTGGGGGAGCAGGGAGGAGTGGACCTGGGACGCAGACCTTTGCAGCTGGGGTCCCCACCTGCCTCACTCATGGGATTCCTTGGACAGAGGAAGGAGCTGGGCTGAGGGTTCAGGAGCCTGTAGCAGAGTCTCTGCCTTCCAGTGTCCGCCCTGCTGTGGTCTCACTGTGTGTCCTCGGCAAGTTTCGGTCCCTCTGAGGGCCTCAGTCTCTCTGTGAAATTGAAGAGGCCTGGGACCAGACCATCTGCCATATTCCTTTCTGTTTCTGTGACTTGAGCCCCAGGGTAGCCACCCGCCAACATTCATGGGGTGCCGAGTGGGCCCAGGTAAGCTGTCCCTTAGCTACTGTGTGACCTTAGGCAAGGCTCTCAGGCTCTCTGAGCTTCAATTTCCCCATCTTCCAATGAATGGGGGCTTGAAACAGACCTACCTATCTGGGCCTGGCCTTGGGCAGCCCTACCCCCTTCCCTCCCCTCCCTTCCCCTCCCCTCCCCCCTTCCCTTTCCTGTGCCCCCCTCCCCCACCACACCTTGTTCCCCAGCTCTTGAAGCTGAGCCTCCTCAGGGGCCCACAGACTGGCTCTGATGAAAGGTTCATTATCCTTTCTTTGTGCAGGTGACAAATTCTACCGCCAATAATCGCTTGTGAAAAATCAACAGTGAAGCCCAGCGGCTCCCGGCCTGGAGAAATTTGAGTGGATTTCCGGAAGAGCAAGGTGGAAAAAACCCAGGGGCAGCAGTGGGACCCAGGAGTGGGGGGGCCTGGGAGGGAGGGCTCCGCTCAGCACAGCGCAGGACCGGGCTGCACCTCGGGGGAGGGCCCCACTGTGCCCCACTCCTCCCATCGCATCACGAAGCCTTTGCATAGGATGATCCCTCTGCCTGGAATGGCCCTTCTTCTCCCCCTCCTCTACAAGACGACAGGGGGTGCGCAGGAGACACTGGGGAACAGGTGCTGCTAGAGGGAGGCTAGAGAAAGGGCAGTAATGGCAGAAAGGGGCAGATGGGCCTATTCTGAAGGCCCTAAGCTGAAATGCTGGGGAGGAGCTGGATCACTTGCAGGACAATAGGGAGCCATGGAAGGTTTTTGAGCAGGAGATGGATATGTGGAAAGCTCTGCTTCACTCGGCTTGTCCGTGCCTCTTCAAGTCTTCAGGGGAAGACTTGCTCGGTCTCCAGGGACCCAAGCCCTCATCCTTTCTTGGGAAGGAGTGTAAAGAATGCATGGAGGTGCGGCGGTGATGGGGTGCGAGGGGACAGGTTGGGATGACTAACGCAGATGGTAGGCCACCCCTGTGCCTGTCTTATGTCAGGGTCAGGGCTCCTACAGGGCAGTGCAAATGGCGAGTGGGTGAGCCGGGCTTGGAGCCCAGGTCTGTCTGACCACAAGGCCCCAGCAGGAGGAGGATCCTGGTAGCGACCTGCCTGTGGGAAGAATTCCCCTAAATGGTCTCATTTGTGCCTCTTCTTCATTCTGAGGAGGGACTCTGTCCTCACTGACCCATTTTGCAGACGAGGAAACCAAGGTTCAGAACTGTCAGGGGGTCGAGTTCACCAACGAAACCAGTATTTCTGGCTTCTGAAGCAGTGCTTGGCACATGGCAGGTGCTTAACGAAGGGATGGGAGTCAGGCTTTGAGGCTTTGGACTCCAGAATCAGTTCTCTCCAAATAGCACCCAAGAGATTTCTCGGAGATGGGGCTGTTCTCAGACAGTGTGAAAACCCCAGAAATAGAACTTTCCGGGAAACCTTCAACCATCTTGGAAACATGGCCCAGTGAGGGAAAGTGGCTTGCCTAGGGCTACATAGCACACTAGTGACAGAGCAGGGACCAGGACCCAGGGCTTTAGACTCTCCTTCCTCCTCTAGGCCCAGGCTGGTGAGCACAGTGGGCTCAGCCCAGAGCTGGAGAGGAAAGGCAGGTACTGCCAACCTAGTTCCGACCTCCACAGCTGCACAGGAGGGCCTGAGACAGGCAAGGAGAGAGGATGGCTGGCCATAGTGGTGGAGCAGCAGGACTCCAGAGGGGACAGCAGTAAGGTGGGAGGGACTGAACTCCTTCAGCTCCTGCCCTACACCACTGCCGTGCGAGCCTCTGAGGCCCACCCGACCCACTCAAGACTGCACCGCCCCTCCCATGCTGCCACATCGCCACTAAGCACACAATTTCCATGGTGACCCCTGCCCCCTGGCTGCTGGTGAGGTCGGTGGGTGCCCCTCATGGTCCGGCTCACTTGGTCTCTCTCCCTCTTTCTCTCCATCCCTCTTTATCCCTCCCCTTCTCCCTTCCTCTCTCCTTCTCGCTCTCAGTCCAGTCTCTGCCCTGCTGCCCTCCATCCATCTAGTTCTCTCCTAGACTTCAGCTTCAGACAGACGTGGTTTGAAAGCTGCAGCCCCGGCCTTCCTCAATTGTGTGACCTTGGCTACGCCCACGTGCCCATTGCCTCACCTGGGCCTCACTTTTCTCATCTGTACCATGGAGTTGGCACCCCTGGCTCTGGCCTCAAGGTTTGCCGTGCCTGCAGAGGCCCCTGAGCATTCAGCAGGTACTCACTCAGTGGGAGCTGCCAGACGCAGAATGTGTGATGGGAATCATTGGATGCGGCCGCCTCTCCACCCACCCGCCACCTGACACCGCCTCCTGGCTCTCCATCACTGCCCAGGAGTCGGGCAGCCTCCCCGCTCCCTGCTATTTCTTCTCTGGAGCTTCCCAGGAGGTTAATAGCAGCTTCTCACCAGGATATTTGGCTTTTTTTAGGAATCTCCTTGCCTCTTTCTTCTCTGTGAGGATATTCTCAGGATGGCTGTGGCAGAGAAGGGAAGGAAGGAGACTCTCTAGGCATTTGCCAACTAAGAGGGGCACTTAGGAGTAGGTGGGGTGCCAGTTCCAGGCAGGACTTGGGGCAGACAGTGCCCTGTTTCCAGAACAGCTCCCAGTGCTGGGCTGGGCTGGGCTTAAATGCAGTGGGAGAAGCTCAGGGGTGGGGTGGGGTCACAGGCTCCACTTGGTCATTTGAGTATGGGGGTGTCTGTGAGCCCGGTGGGGCCTCAGTCTCCCCTCCTGGAAGGTGGGCCTGATGATCTATGCCAGCCTCTAAAGGAAGGGAAAGAGTTTCGCTGAGCTGCAGGTGGAGGTGCAGACAAGGTGAGGGGCTGGAGTCAGGGGAGGCCAGCAGAGCGCCCAGGACCCCTCTGGCTCCACCCCAGGTCCTTGGGCTCCACCTGCTCTCAGCCCTGTCCTGAGCCCAGGAATGGTCCCAGGACTGAGAAGGAGGTCAAAACTCTGCAGCCCTTCCACTACTACTTCGGGGGGCTCAGCACAGCTCCTCCGGGCTCATGTCCCCAGGCCCTTCCCCGGTGTGACCCCCCCAACCAGCCCCGCACAGGAGCGGAGGTCCACCTCTTATGTGTGTGTTTTAAATTGCAGTAAAATGTACGTAACATGAAATTGACCATTTTAGCTTTGTAAGTATACAGGTCCATGGCATTCGGTACATTCACAATCCCGTGTGGCCGTGACCATCATCCATTTCCGGGGCTTCTGCATGATCCCGAATAGAAGCTTGCATGCCCTGTGCCACGCCCCCTCCCACCTCAACCCCCCCGTAACCGCTGGTCTTCGTCTCTATGAATTAAACTATTCCAGGTACCTCCCATCAGTGAAATCATAAAATATATGTTCTTTTGCATCTGGCTTATCTCACTTAACATAATAAGACAACCGCCTCTTAACAGACTAGCAAACTGAGGCACAGAGCGGCTACGGGACTCTCTCCAGCTGTGCGCCCCTTCTCACCGCCTTTGCACCTCCTCTCTGTTCTGCCTGTCCCTGTGAGGGTGGAAGTATGCCGGACATGCCCACATTTCACTGAGGAAGAGAGACAGCGGCCCCACGGTGCTATGAGCCCCCAGGATTAAGATCTCCAAGTTTGGTGCTCACATATTCAGGGGAGCCACACAGCACTGCCCAGGAGAGCCCAGGGCCTGAGCCGGGCCAAGGTTTAATGGGGAGCAACCAGGGACCGCCACGCCTCTTTTCGGGTCCCAGTGCCTCTTTTCTGAGGGTGATTCTGTAACTAGGCCCTGAGGGTTGCCTTGGGCTATGCTGACACCACGCCTCCTCTGGATTGTCTGGGTAAGGGAGGGGACAGGAGTGGAGTCAGCAACATGGCCCAAGAGGCTGCCCAGGGCAAAGAAGAACCTGATAAGGGACTCTGGCCTCCAGGTGACCCACACTGCCTGGCACAGCCTCCACCCCCATGCCCTGCTGGGCCTCCCAGGCTCAATTTGTGTGTGTGACTGGGGAGGGCCAGGGTGGCTGGGAAGATTTTAGGATATGGGAAACACATTTATTATGCTTTCAACGTAAGCCTAGGGACCCAACAAAATCAGGCATCTGGTAAGGGAAGGGAAAATGAAAGATCTTTCCTTGGCCCCACTCACCTTCTTACGCTAATACTTAAGACCTTTTGTGATCTGGCCCAGTTCATACGTCCATCTGCCAGTCTTGTCCTCCACTCCTTGATCTTTCCATGGAGTCATGCATTCGGTAAGTATTGACTGAAGACGCCTCCACCCAGGCACAGCGTCAGTCTCTGGAGCCACGGCTGCAGCTGTGAGGAAGACAGATGTGCCCTGATGTTCCTGGAGTTCCTGAGCTGGGGTCCTATGGCAAAATCCAGCATGAAGCAAATAATCAGATGATGCCTAAGTACAGGCAGTGCCCAGGGCTTTGGGGAAGCCAGGGCCTTGTGAGGGATGAGGAAGCAAGTTGGATGAAGACTGGGAGTCACGGAGGGCGCCGCTAAGAGGCTGCTGAGCAGAGGGATAGATGGAGCCAGCCAGGCAAAGGGCTTCAGGAAGATCAGTCCGGGCAGGGGGAACAGCATGCAACATGGCCCGGAGGCACCAAAGAACTCAGTGAGTCTGAGACACCTGGAGGTCAGGCAGCGTCAGCCATCATCAGTGAAGAACAGCTGGGGCAATGGGGCCAGGGACTGCGCAGGGGTCACTCACTCAGGACTCAGGGCCAAATGAAAATAGAGTTGGAATGGGGGCGACTTACTATAGGGGATTGGAAGCATTAGAAGGGGACAATGAAGGCCTGGCGCGGTGGCTCATGCCTGTAATCCCAGCACTTTGGGAAATCCCAAAGAGGTGGTAAAACCCCATCTCTACTACAAATACAAAAATTAGCCGGGCATGGTGGCGCACGACTGTAATCTCGGCTACTCAGGAGGATGAGGCAGGAGCATCGCTAGAATCCCGGAGGTGGAGGTTGCAGTGAGCCAAGATTGTGCCACTGCACTCCAGCCTGGGTGACAGAGCAAGACTCAGTCTCAAAACAAAAACAAAACAAAAACAAAAACAAAAAACAAAACAAAAATGAAAGGGACAATGAGATCACAGGGTAGTAGGAAAGCAGGAAGTTGCTGCTTCCTGAGGCCAGGGGGACAGAGGGAGGAGGTGGCTCTGCTGGAATTTCAGCACCATGGAACCAGGAGGAGCAATTCTGGCAGCAGCTGGAGCCCTGGAGGGTGTAGACTTGGCCAGAGCCGTGCCCAAGGCAGACAGAGAGGGGTAGAATTCCCTGGCGTTGCCTTTCCTCCTGCCCTCCAGGCTCTTCCCAGCTGGGTGCCAACTGATTCAGGAACCAAAACAAGGCCTGTGTGGCCTGGGAGAAGACACTTGCTTTGAGCCTCAGTTTCCTCTCCTGTTAAAGGGAGCCATCAGGCCGGCCTTGCAGGTCTGTGGTTAAGGCAGGGATGTTTCTCTGCCTGGCGCTGGGCCCCGGCTCAGCCCTCTTGGTCTGCAGAACTTGCCATCACTCCCCTGCCCTTCTGGGCTCCTTGTGTCCAAGGGGCCCTGAGGACTCAGAAATGAGTCAGATCCTGGCCTCTAGGTTCTCCACTCACTTGGGGGCCAGGCTGTGGTTGCAGACTGCGTAGTTCTCTCACAGAAAGCAAGCAGGTGGGTTCCTTTCACTCCAAACGGAGCGGAGAGCACAGGTTGAGGTGGAGGCTGGAGCTTCAGAAAGGAGGCTGCACCTGCAAGGCCAGGGAGGACCTCCTGAGGGCTCTGAATGTCAACCTGTACTGCATGAACTTGATCCTCAAGGGGAGGTTGGGGACAGGCCTGGCAGGTGTGCATTGGGAAAGCCCTGTTAAGAGCCAGCACGTGTCAAGTGCCTTGAACTGTGCATCGGGGATGGTGGCCAGGAGGCAGGAAGACTAGAGAGGGGGTCTGTCTAGGGGAGCTCCAAGACTCCCCTTGGACAGGCTTTCTGGGACTGCAAGGGTGATTCCCTTTTTCCCGTCACGGAACACGCCTCCCTGTCCTTGAGCCCCGTTCTGAAAAGGTCCCTGGTTCCTGGGCCAGCCCCACCCTGCCCTGCCTTGAGACCACATCTGCCACACCCTCAGCCTGGCCTACTGATAGCTAGTTACTTGTTGCTGTCTCCGGGGACCTTCTTGTCAAGACTGTGTCGTGAAAGGGGCAGGGAGGGGAGGAGCCGAGAAGAGGGGGATGGGCAGGCCAGAGGTTGGAGGTGGGAGGGAGTGTAGGCTGATGCTGTGCTGGGCTGTGTGTGTATGTTGGGGGCGTTTGTCTTGGAGGGGCATGTAGAAGGGATTCCAGTGGTCCAGTAGGGGCTTCACCCACCACTTTTTAATTTTTATTTTATATATCTTTATTTTTTTCGATACTGAGTCTTGTTCTGTCTCCCAGTCTGGAGTGCAGTGGCGAGATGTCCGCTCACTGCAACCTCTGCCTCTCAGGTTCAAGCAATTCTCTTGCCTCAGCCTCTTGAGTAGCTGGGATTACAGGCGCCCACCACCACGCCTGGCTAATTTTTTGATTTTTAGTAGAGATGGGGTTTCGCCATGTTGCCCAGGCTAGTCTTCAGCACCTGAGCTCAGGCAATCTGCCTGCCTCGGCCTCCCAAAGTGCTGGGATTCACCACGCCCGGCCACACCCCTCTCACTCCCAACCCTTTCACCTGTCAAAGGTTACACTGGGACCCTGCGTCTGTGAGGTAGGGAGATATCTGAAGCTGGACTGGGAGTCCCCTCCCAAACGGGATCCTGGGGACTTGCAGACGGCTCGGTTGCCCCCCACTCTCCATCATCCCCACGGCTCCACCGCAGCCCCGCTCCTCCGTCCTGCGTCCAACCACCCTCCGAGGGGATGGGGGAGGGGTGCAAGGGGCTTCAGCGCAGGGAGGGGCTGCAGGGAGGGGGAGGCGAGGTGGGTGTGAGGCCAGAAGACGGAGGGAGATGGGGAAGGAGAGGGGGACCCAGAGCAGCGGACAGCAAACCTAGTGAGGAGCGACGATCAAAACAGGGGCGGTTCACTGAAACTTCTGTGTCTGCTGGCTTCACACTATCTGGCTTAATCTTCACCAATATTATTCTTAAATTTTAGTTTTGTAAATGTTTGTATTTTATTTTGTTTATTAGCTGGAATTGCTAATGCATTTACACATTTGAATATTTAAGAGGTGTGTGCAATACCGAGTCTCCCCGCACCCTTTCCCCAGGGACCAGGCTCCCTCCCTGGAGGCAGTCAGCTTCGCCAGCAACTTCCCTCCTCTTCCAGGCTGACTGCGCAGACAAGCAAACATATGCATCGAAAAGCAAATACATACACATACATTTCTCCCTTTTTAACCCATTAAAGGCTGGCATTCCATCACCAGAATCTTCTCACTTCTTTTTCCACTTGCCTACTTACTAAGGCTCGGAGAGGTTAAGACAGTCTTCTAGAGTCACACAGCGGGGGTGGAGAGATGGGCGGTGACCGCAGTCAACCGGTGGAGTGGGATGGAGGGGACAGGATCAGTTTCCGGCAAGAGAAGCGGGAGGAGGCGAGGAGAGAGCGGGGAGCGGGGAGGAGGACGGAGGCGCCGGGCGGGTCGTGGGGGATGGGTGGCCAACCGGGCGGAGAGACTGGAGTCGGGCGGGAGAGGGGAGTCGATGAGGTGCGGAGGCAGGCGGGTTCCTGCTCCTGCTGCCCCCGCCCTGGCGGATGCCGGTGGGACCTGCGGCCACCGGAGCCCATGGCCCTTCTCCACTCCTCCTATCCTATACTACCCTATCCAAGGCTGGGGTGGGGGCTTCTTTCTGGATGCCCCGCTCCGCCCCCGCCCAAGTTCTCTGACAGAGTCTACAGGTCCTCACTCCCTTCCCACCCTCGTTTCCAGCCTCTCAATCAGGCCTGGGAACGGGCGATGGCGAGGCGGTTCTGGGCCTTCCCTAACCCTCTGAGCTAGGACCCGCCATCTGTGAAATGGGTGCATAGTGTGTGGGGGTGGGGCGGGGGTGACTCGGCCTTGGCCGTTCGAGGTTTGGGGACAGCTCGGTGACACCGGCCCCCCACCCCCATTTGATGCTCTCCCCAATACCCGAGTGCACTCGCCCCCCTCCCCGCTACTCCCTGGCTTTGGGGAGTGGGTGGGTGACAGTCTCTGAGCATCGGCGGCCCTACCGATCCCCGCCCCGTGCCCCCTTCCCAGATGCTCCCGGGCCGACGCCGCAGGTCCGGGCCAGCCCGGAGCGCCCAGGCGGGACCGCCGCGGGCAGCCTGCGCGTGGCTGAGCTTTAATGAAGGCCCCCGCGGCGCCCGGCTAATGAGCTCTGGGCCCGGGGTGCGCGCCGCTCCGCTGGGTCTTCCGTGCACCGCCGGGTCCTAA